AGTAGCTTGGGAGCGATTGTGGCGCAGCGCGCCATTAATTGTCCTGAGACCCCCTTATGATGTCATCAAAAGTGGAGTGACATGGGCCTGATTATTGCAACTTTATCTAGATATCTATCACTGACCAATGTCACACTCTACCTTCACTGTTGATTCAAGGTAGGTACATAGGCGCGGGAGCCGGGGGGGCAGTGGGGGCAGCTTGCCCCCCCAACTCTGGGGCCGTGGGGGCGGTGCCCCCACAGCTTTGAGACGGAATACCACACTTTTTTTTGCAAATGTTTTCTTTTTTGTTGAAAAAGCCGAGGGGTGAAAAATAAGTGGCCTAAAACCGGTGAGAAAACTAGATTTGGGGGTACCCTAGGTTGATCTCTATTATGGTGTGCCCCCCCAGTCGGAAAGTAGTTCCCGCGCCCCTGGGTAGGTACGTTTTTCGGCTACTAGTCGTTTATTGTTTTCGTTTCGAATTTTCGACCTTCGCATCGAGGTCGTTGTCAAGAAACATATAACAATGACAATGACATGCATCGTGAACACGTTTGAAAAATAGTGCGGTCATCATATCTAAAAACGTGCAAGTAATCTCTCCAGCTATTTCTGACCTGAAAATCTGTACCCAAAATTAATGAGGAAAAAAGTGTATGAATAGATGAACGAATGAATGAATGGCTAACTGACGGACGGACTGACTGACTGACTGACTGACTGACTGACTGACTGACTGACTGACTGACTGAATGACTGACTGACTGAATGAATGAATGAATAAAAGAATGAATGAATGAATGCAGTACATGAGACATACAAACAGGCTGTGACACATTAAAAATACATGCTTAAAATCTTTGATTGCTTGATCGTCGGATCTCGTTGCTCTACCAGCACTGATCCCATAAAGGACTGAATGCGGTGCCGTCTACTCGGTTGATGGTGTCGTTTTTCTTGACGTGTATTTGTAGCGCTTCTTTCGTGAGTCGTTTCGTGAGATTGTTTTCGTTTTCGAGGACTGTCGTTTTGTTCCAAAGCGGTGCGTGTTCTCCTGGTTCAAAAAGGTGATCTACGAAGGCACTTCCGTTGTGATGCAGTTTTTGACGTCTCTTTGATGTTCTTTTATTCTTATTTGCAGCTTCCGTCGTGTTTGTCCGATGTAGATTTTGCCGCAGTGACAGGGAATTTCGTATACGCAAGGTTTCTCTCCCGGTAGATGTTTGTCTTTGACTGTTGATAATTTGCTCCTAAGTGTTTGGCTTCTTGAAGAAATGGCACATTCAATGTTGTTCTTTTCCAGGAGGCGCTTCAGATTGTGAGTTAGTCCCTCGCAGTATGGTAGGACTGCTCGAGGTTTCCTGTCGTTTCGTGTCGTTCTGTGATCCGTCGTTTGTTCGTTCTCTCCGTTTTCTGTCGTTTGTGGTTTCGGCTCTGATGTTCTTCGTTTTCGTGCTATGTATTTGTGTATCGTCTTCGCTGGGAAACCGTTTCTTTTTAAGGCTCGAAGTATGTACAGGAGCTCGTCTTCTAGATGTTCTGGTGAACAAATCTTGAAAGCCCGGTCGACTAGTGACCTCACGACTGCTATCTTCGAGGCTTGTGTGTGATTTGAGTCCCACTGGAGATATAGATCGGAATGTGTATCTTTTCTGTATATCTTGAAGCTGACTCCGTTTGTCTCTCTTCTGATTTTGACGTCCAGGAAGGCCAGCTCACGATCTTCCTCTTTTTCCATGGTGAACTTGATGGCGTCATTTTGTGTGTTGAGGTGATCCAAAAATCCGTCTAGAGTGTCTTCGCCGTGTTGCCAAATCACTAGAATGTCGTCGACGTATCTGACCCACTTTTTTCACAACGGAAACGGAAGCACATGGGTCAGATACGTCGACGTATCTGACCCACTTTTTCACAACGGAAGTGCCTTCGTAGATCACCTTTTTGAACCAGGAGAACACGCACCGCTTTGGAACAAAACGACAGTCCTCGAAAACGAAAACAATCTCACGAAACGACTCACGAAAGAAGCGCTACAAATACACGTCAAGAAAAACGACACCATCAACCGAGTAGACGGCACCGCATTCAGTCCTTTATGGGATCAGTGCTGGTAGAGCAACGAGATCCGACGATCAAGCAATCAAAGATTTTAAGCATGTATTTTTAATGTGTCACAGCCTGTTTGTATGTCTCATGTACTGCATTCATTCATTCATTCTTTTATTCATTCATTCATTCATTCATTCATTCATTCAGTCAGTCAGTCAGTCAGTCAGTCAGTCAGTCAGTCAGTCAGTCAGTCAGTCAGTCAGTCAGTCAGTCCGTCCGTCAGTTAGCCATTCATCCATTCGTTCATCTATTCATACACTTTTTTCCTCATTAATTTTGGGTACAGATTTTCAGGTCAGAAATAGCTGGAGAGATTACTTGCACGTTTTTAGATATGATGACCGCACTATTTTTCAAACGTGTTCACGATGCATGTCATTGTCATTGTTATATGTTTCTTGACAACGACCTCGATGCGAAGGTCGAAAATTCGAAACGAAAACAATAAACGACTAGTAGCCGAAAAACGTACCTACCTTGAATTAAGATGTCTAGTCGTAAAAGCTTGAAATCATATATTCACTGTTGATTGTTACGATTATTGGCGTACATTTAACTTGACAGCTCTGATCATGACACATTATGTTCCTTGTCACTCAAACACTTGCAACGTCTCATTTCTCTCACGGTAGTTAGTTTCCGCGTGGCCACTCTTCGTAGTAAAACCACTACCTGTATCTTAAAATGCTACTATTGGTATTAAATCGCATGTACTCAGCCGATCTAAAGACATCTATTCATGATAACCCGTGGGTAAAGCGCACTCGCTTCTAAGGCGATACCCACTGCCGTCGGAGAGCCATGTGCCAAAATAGCAGTGTTACTCGGCCGCTGAGCGAAGAAACCCGCTTTTACGCGAAAACAGCGCCTTCACGGTAGGCTGGCGTCCACAAGTGGCTGGGACAGCCCGTAGTAGGGGTGACTTGCAGCCCGCGATGAACAGGCCATCGACATGGTTCACCTCGCGCGGGTGTTGGATCTTGTCCATGAGTGATTTCCCCTTCGCTGCAGCGAAGCGTGCCCAATGCACAAGTGCAATGACCAGTGGAAGGTAAACAGGATGTACCAGGTACCGGAGGTGTTGCATAGCTTCAGTTGCAGATTGCATCTAGTTGAATAGTATTATGCAAATGGGTATGCCCGTGAGGGGATAAGTGATCGATGAGAGGAGGAAAGTCGCACTCAACAACTCGGCTTTCACGTGCAGAGGTGAAATGCAGCTGTGTAATATAGAGCTGCATTCCTTTCAACCACGGCCCATCCGTGGACTGTTTTGGAAAACCGATATGGCTCTGTTCTGGATCAAGCCGTGACTGTGAGGAATAAGGCTCTGCAGGCCCGACTCGCCATTCATATTCAGATGACAACCGCGCCTGCTGGCGCCAGCTCTCCGTGATCAAAGCACCCCCTCTTTGGACCAGTACTGGTGATCTAGATCTCTCCGCGGGTCTCGGGGCACCCTGACCTTTCAAACGTGACCCATAGCGCACCCCTCGTGTCAAGGTGGACAGCAGGCGACAGACGGACGGACGCCCCATACGGGCCCGACCACGGCCCGGGTGGAGTGGGGGATGGCCGATGGGGTACCGTAGACCGGGCTGGGGCGGCCCGGGGGTGACTGGAGCTAATTGGTGTGAAGTTGATGAGGTAGGGCAGGGCGTTGGGCTGACATAATGACATAACTAATAGTGAGTCAGAGCTAGCATGACGGTGACGTCACAATAGTCTGTTTGACTCTGTTGTCAAACGGATACTGGAGAAGAGCCGTCATTTTTTCAAAGACGAGGGAGCAAGTGGATAAAAAAGCCCACTCATGCAAGGAATGTTTTGATGAAAATTGACGTCTGATAGCTTTATAAATCAATGAAATGATCAACAATTGGTTCCTAAGCTGGAAACCTACTAAAAAATAGCTATGAACCTAAGTAAATCAAAGCTGCACCAAATGTCAACCAAATGTTTAACAGATGGCCAAATGTTGAACAGACCAAACGTTTAGTAGATATGGAAACGGCTATCGTTCCTTAGCTGGATAAACATTTCCAGCCTGCGTCACTTCACAGCCTGCAGCGGCGCCAGGAGCTGTCCCACTGCAATGACCGCTGGTGACACGCCCCAGTAGCCACTCTACCCTCGGGAGCCGGGTCAGGGGTCGTGCCCGTCCGTGCCGCGCCACTGGAGACGGTTACGGCGCACCGGCTACAGTCGTGGCGCGGCGCGTCATGTTCGCCACGATCTGAACTGTCCTTCGTGGGGCACGCCTCAGTCCAGTCACGGTGGCAGCGAGGGGCAGCGCCGCTGTTGCTCCAGGGGGTATTAAAGGTCAATCAATTTCGTACTGAAAAGGCCTTCACAGAGATAGAAAATCAAAACCCTTTGACGAAGACAACATTCGTTCGAGTGTTTTGACATCAGCTGACTGGACAACATTCACCCAGAGCATGATACCGCTGGAGACGCATTTAGTTTGTCAACCCAGCATGACTGATACTCGTAATATAGGTAAGCCTCCTTCAAATACGAAATCTCCGCGGTGAGATTCTTGCATTTAGGTGAGGTTTAGATACATGATAGCTGAGTGAGAGGAAAGGCACGGAAGAGGCCCGTCCCTGGACTTGCGGTGGACGCTTACCGCCGCGCCGGTGGGCTGGCGCCATCAGAAAGGTCGATTAAAAAAGTATGGCACCGGTAGGTAAACGAACCACAGGTGGTATTGCCACCACCGCTAGTCCGTAGGTATCTGAATGAGTCAGTTCCAGTTGCTGGCCCGCCGAGAGTCTGATAATGAGCACCGGCACGACCTGCACTTCAAAGCACAAATAGGTCTAATTGGCACCCCTGCAGAGAAAGACATCGCGTCCACACATCAAACCAACACCTGACTAAAACACTATCTCCCTTCCCAGCTGGTCATTCTGGCGGTGCTGGTGCTGGGTGCTGTCGGAAGGCCCCAGTACCAGAGCGGGTACGGCACCGGGCCCCTCTCCGAGGCCAAACTGTGGCGTCGCGTGGTCGACACGGACAAGGAAGATTACCGGGCCGCGCGCGCCGCCGCCGCCATCGCGCTGCGCCTCTTCAGGAACGCCGGAACGCAGACCAACACCATCAAGGTGGGAAGGGGGGAGGTGAAGAGTGTTGTGGGGGGTAAGGGGGGCGGAAGAGCAAGGTGAGAAAGAAATGTGAGTAGGCACTGGGCGGTGAACAGTGATGAGATGAGGACACTGGGGACATGAGTGTCTGTCGTCTGATGTCTGTTTTGAAAACATAGTATGACTAATGACTATCCTGTGAGGACACACATCTGGTGGGTGCACGTTCTGAATCTGGTAATTGATCTAAAATAAATATTACGTGTTATAAATAAACCAACACACATACATCACATAAGAATGCATAAAGTAAGAAAACATCCAACGATTGCTTTTAGGGTAAACAAGTTTCAACACAAAGCAAAGAACAAATAAAAAAACGAACAAAATGACTCACCACTTTCAGGACTGACCTTCAAGTCACAATTTACCTGTAATTGTGTAACATTCATTATTAATCTCGTACTTCCACCTCTTGCGGTATTGACAATGGACCGCAGCCCACAACCACTGCCGTTGTCTTACGGGCAATCGGCTCATCGGACCTTGAGCACCATAAAAAGTCGTCTGTAGTAGCTACCGCTCCGGACCGTTATTTGTGACGCCAGTGGGATAACTGTCACATGCCGCAGAAGTAGGAACACCATCACAAATGAGACAACCAGAGTGCGGGTGAATCAAAGGCGATCAGTGATGTTAGGTTCGCTCACCAGACGTCATTCCCTGTTGCAGGACGTTGAGCCGGTCTACAAGTACAAGAGGCCCAAGTTTGCCACCAGCTACAGGCCGCCGGCCGAACACTGATGATTGAGAAGCGGTAGGGCGACAATCTATCAACTGCTCAAGCTTATGTCGTTGTAATGAGCCAAGACATCTTTCAAAATGTGTTTTAAGCGTATTTACACCTACCTATGTACTTGCTTTGCATGTATGATAGCCGGAATACAGCTTTTTATTTCTTCATATAGCCTTGCCAAGAACTTGGACCTGCGCCGAGTTAAGGATATGTTAACATTTTCTAGTTCAGTTATGCTTGAAACGCGACATCAAGCGAAATGGCTCATCATCGGTACACATAGAGGCCTTCCTTCGCTGTCGCCTGACACCTTACTTTCTGTTGCAGCGAATTTTCTATGAACGAAAGCGGAGGGAGGGGCAGCTGACAAGACACCACTACACACCACAACGCAATCATGGAGGGAGCATCAATGAGTTCCACTGGACAGTGGACAGACCAGACCAGGAGCTCTACTGGACCGCGGAGGCAGCTGCCGTGACCTGTCAGCCCCGGCCGAGGGGGCGTCACGGCGCATCATGTTTCATGGTCACCTTTGTGTCACATGGGAGTCGACCTTGGGAGTTATACCCTTCCCATTGATACGGTTGTGTATCAACTATCGAGTGTGTGTGCATGAAACGATTCCAAAAACTAGCTGTGCCAAGAGGTGATGGACTTAAAATTAGTCCGAAGTGTTAAGCATACCTTTATGTTGTTTCAACTGGAGATGTGAAAGCACCAAAGAAAGCAAAATGAAAAGGAAGCAAAGCTGTACAGAAACAAGTTGATACCTACTCATTATTGAAGTGAGTAGATAGGTATGTCTTTTAAACACTGCGATACTGGTTTGCGTTTGTTTCTTTCTTTTGCCTGTGTTTAAGACTAAAGCTCTTTGATAGTCATTTCTTCCTCTTTTTGTTAAGGACTTATTCTAGAAACTGACGCGAGTAAAAATGATTGAAAATGAAATTGATGGAAGGCAGCAAAAGCTATGTCTACCTATTCATATAACGGCCACGCCCACATTTAAATGTCAGTCTCCGAATCATATGAATTGTAAATAAATGAGGGTGAAATTGATTTATCTGTGTTTTAAATATATGAAATTCTACAGCAGATAACACTTATTGGAGATGCTGCCCACACGTAACAACATTGAACCAGAAATGAGACGATTTTAGCGCAGTAGGTATACCTTGCGAAGTAAGATGCAACCTCTGTATGCATCAGAGGTCAGAGGTGTACAGAGGTCATGATGTAACCCATGCATACAAAACTTATTGCTATTAAGACATGACGAAGATACGATTCCAAATTTGTGTTCTTTGCGGGCACATCATTCATTTCCGTAATAAAAGTTCCACTTTTCCAGGCTCCAGCCGAGTGCAGACATATGAATGAGCCGGCGTTAACAAAATAGACTGAAAGATGAGACGTCAAGTCACGTCATCTAACTCGTTCTGCAGCTGTGTTTCATAAGTGGGTCGCTGTTCTTTGCTGCGAAGTTTAGAAACGACTATTGTTCAAGTGCAGCTGAGTTTCACAATATATGTACAGGTAAAGCTCGTACGATACTGATCAACAGCTTGACGAAATCAACAACAACATCAACAACAAATCAAGGAAGCGTCCCTAGAAAAGCTATGGTAAACAAGAAAACACCGGGACATAGAGCTGACGAAAGCTGTGCAAAATCACGCCACGAGTGTGAAAGTCCTCTCACGTTGAGGTGACACCAGTTGTGATTTCACTCTAACCACCAAGTGACGCCAAGGGCGGTGAAAAAGTTGGCAGTGACGGTAACAACACGATGTTGTCCCCAGAACACACGTCACGGACAACATCATCAGCTGCATGCAACTAAATGCCGCAGTTTTCAGCACCTAAAGCGTGCCACCAGTGATCTCACGTCAGCTCTGCAGTCGTAGTGACGTCATCGGTGGCCCACCCGTCATGACCCTCGGGGGCCCAAGACCTTGGCAAGGCACGAGTCGCAGTCAACAGACACCGTCCGGGCACTTCGCTATTGGTGCCTCCCCCCTTTCAAGAATCAAGGGGGCCCGGTGGCCCCCACGTTTCACCGCCTATGGCGAGGTGACGCTTCTAGATCTCGAGAAAGGCTGCGTCGATTAAGCACATAACTAGTTGGTATTGACATCGTTAGGAACCAGTGAGTATGGTGGTGTGCAGAGGTCAGAAGCAGATTACCCTTTCACACTTCTTTAAGAATTACCCTCGTACTTGCTAGTTGCTCGTTTGTCGCCCCAAAAAGGTGTCTTACTGGTTACTTATACACAGCCCATGAAAATATTGTTAACTCGCGCCGTGCTGGGGGTGCATTTGCACGCCCCCCTTCCTCGTTTTTTTTTTTCGCGAATATCTCAAAAACGGCATTTTTGGCACACCTGTTCGTATTTTTTTTCACACATGTGAAAATTTCAGACCCTGGTCGTTCAAGGTCAGGTCTCCAGGTCACGAGTGATCTTACCTCAGAAAAGGTTCCGAGAAAGTTGGCATTTGTGCTGCAAGGGATTACACATGTAATGAAAAATGCTGGAAAATATTGCAAAATTTATTTGCCATTCAACACCAACAAATAGGTTTAGAATATTGGCGCAAGAAATCGTAGCAAGATAACTGACGGATGTGGTGTTGAGCAACGGAATGCCCGACACCGTGCAGGAGGAATGCACAAACAAATATCTGCCAATGGTTTAAATCTTTATAATATAGCCCCTAAATTTTGAAACATATTCTAATAACAGTATAACTTGAATAACATATTTTTGATGTGATATATGCACCTAGGCCCATTAAGGTAATTAAAATGAAAATAAGAAAAATAAAAAGTCAAACATTAATCCCTATCGTAACGGCTCAGCTTCTTTCGAAGCTGGATTAGAACCCGGATCAGCGGTAAGGGATTACGGGTGTTTCCATGGGCAGTCTAAGCCCTTACGAAGCACTGATCCGGATCAGTGATGCCCATGGAAACGGGGTCGAGACATTTGTTTCTCTCGTCAAAACGCGTCGAATAAAGTTTGAATGGTTTGAAACGTTTTTAGCATGATTATAATCACAGTTCTAAATAAGAAAGAATGATAATTGATAACCTCTTGCTCATAAATAAAGGAAGCCAAAAACAAATCTAAATGTATTTTTGGTGCTGGACCTTCTTCAGTGGAAATACATTCTTCCACTGAATAAGGTCCAGCAACGAAAATATGTGTTGGATTTGTTTTTGGCTTCCTTTAGTTATGAACGTCGAATAAACTTTAACTTGACTTGAAGAAGTTCGTTTGAAAATTTGACCGAAAAAGCATGCTACATCTATATTATAAATCCTAAAAAGTACCCCGCCGTGTGCGACGTACGCACTTTGCAGCGCTTATTGCGGCGGCGTCCGTTGACCTAGGGCCGTGAAATCTTACAGAGATGTGGGCCACCTTTACACGTAGGTCGTATTAAATTTTGGACATGATGCGGCCGGGGGTGCGCCCGCGGCGCGTGCTCGCGTGCCCATAGGGTTAACATTAGAAATGGCAAAAAAGCACTATTGCTCGGGAACGGTGAGGACTACGGGGGTGAAATTTTCGCTGTAAGTCGAACGCGTGCACTCATTTGACGTATTAAATTTTCGAGGGGGTGGGTTCAGCGGTGTGCACGTGGTGGGGCCGCGACCAGCGCCGAGCAGAGTGCACGTGCTTTGGGCTCAGTTGTTCGCTTAAAAAACTGAGTGGGCCGGCAGGTCATTGACCTTTGACAACGAAGGCCGACACAAGGCACCGCTCGCCAAGAGGATTCGCCAGTAAATACAATTAATTTGTTTTTGCAATATCTCAGCCGTTTCTGGGCCGATTTAGCTGAAACTTGGACTGTCGGTGGTAGTGTAGGGTAGGGTAGGGTAGGGTAGGGTAGGGTAGGGTTGGGTAGGGGATTGTAGGGTAGGGTAGGGAAGGGTAGGGTAGGGAATTGTAGGGTAGGGGTAGGGTAGGGTAGGGTAGGGTAGGGTAGGGTAGGGTAGGGTAGGGTAGGGTAGGGTAGTGTAGAGGTAGGGTGGGGTAGGGTAGGGTAGGGTAGGTTAGGGTAGTGTAGGGTAGGGGTAGGGTAGGGTAGGGTAGGGTAAGGGTAGGGTAGGGTAGTGTAAGGGTAGGGTAGGGTATGGTAGGGTAGGTTAGGGTAGGGTAGGGTAGGGTAAGGTAGGGTATGGTAGGGTAGGGTAGGGTAGGTTAGGGGTAGGGTAGGGTAGGGTAGGGTAGGGTAAGTTAGGAGTAGGGTAGGGTAGGGTAGGAGTAGGGGTAGGGGTAGGTAGGGTAGGGTAAGGTAGGGTAGTGTAAGGGGAAAGGGTAGGGTAGTGTAACGGTAGGGTAGGGTAGGGTAGGGTAGGGTATGGTAGGGTAGGGTAGGGTAGGGTAGTGTAGGGGTAGGGTAGGGTAGGGTAGGGTACAGTAGGGTAGGGGTAGGGGTAGGGTAGGGTAGGGTAGGGTAGGGTAGGGTAGTGTAAGGGTAGGGTAGGGTAGGGTAGGGTAGGGTATGGTAAGGTAGGGTAGTGTAGGGGTAGAGCTAGGGGCAGGGTATATAGGGTAGGGGTAGGGTAGGGTAGGTTAGGGGTAGGGGTAGGGTAGGGTAGGGTAGGGTAGGGTAGGGTAGGGTTGAATTGAGTAACATCCTAACTTATTAAGGGCTCGCATGCATCACCATCATACTTTATAGTTCAATTAAAAGCAGTTACCCAGTTCTACACAAATAATACCAATAAAAATGCAAGTTTCTACACCCAAACTAATGCATCCGTTTATCATACATATCAAAACATACAGTTATCGCGTAAACCTGTACCTCTAGTATCAATAAATCTGCATTGCTGAGCTGACCACAGTCCGTGCTTTCATCGCTCTAACACGTCACCGTCAAAAGTTATTGAGAACATAAATGGTTGATGGCTGTGATGAGCATTGTTAGTATTATAGTTTTAGTGATGATGAAATAGCCTTTGCTCATACTTAATCGAAAAATGACGAAAAAAAACAAAATATATATAAAGACACTGATATTTCGCCCTTGTGGCTTCTTCAGAGTGAACATTTAAAACATTCATATTTGAAGCAGAGATGGCGAACGTGCAGATAACATTCTTTGCACCACCGATCACAAGTTGTTGCTACCATAAATAACAATAATCCAATTTTAACACTTTACCCTAAGCACTAATCCTAAATACATCTAAGTCAATGATACCTAAAATAAAAAGGCATGATTTACGATCACGATCTTCTCCCCAGACTGGCAGCATAGGTATACAGAAATTTTGCTAGTTTCAATCATACTTATCCTTGAATCATATTCGCGATTCATTATTTTATTAAAAATAAAACTTACAATTCCTGTTCAGCCGAATGTCGTTACCAGAACAGTCGAAGATAAACATAAGCCGTTTTCACGACGGCCATCTGGTACACATTTGGTGCACATCTGGTACAGATTAAGTGCAGATTTGGTCAAATCAGGTTCAGTGTGTCTCTTAGCAGCATCAGCTAGGGTTGCACTAATTGCTTATATGCCTGCTTTGCCATGTTATCAGAGAGTATCATCGATTAAAACACTGAAATAAATTCATAAAATGAAGATATTTGCTGTAAAAGAAATTAGGTGCAGATTTGGTCAAATCAGGTGCATTCGGCGGATAGCCCGTCGTGAAAACGGCTATAGTCACGTGGTGTTGCTAGGATGTTCAATGGTTATCGTAACTGGGTAGGTCTAGGTATGTCATGCGGATATCCTCCCCGAAGGCCGAAACTCAAGTGTCCAAATATTTATGCTACGGGCAGTGGTCGCCATGGTCGCTGACGTTTGACGTACGCGCTGACGCCTGCCGGCTAGTTTTTCTGTCCTTGGTCCACGCGCTGGTGTCGAGCGCTGTCCACGCTGATCGCATAGTTACCCACCTACATAGGAACTGCCAACAATGGGAAGATTCCCGGAAGGCGCACGTCAATTGGATGCCCTGGTAGTCCCAAGTGATGCACAGTTAAGAGTTAGTAACATTCCAGTTTGGCTGTCGTTGTAGTGTTTTCCAAACGAAGCTAGTTATCAAACAAAGATGGGGAGTCAGAAATGCAATGTTTACCTGTCCATCTATACCCCTAAGCGGCGTGCTACATGCCACACCGTCACGGAACGCCGGCCGGTCCAGCGATGCGTCACGGTCTTCCCAAATACGGAGCCGAGGTGGTTTGGTATACACCATACACGTCTTGAATTATATAACAGTCATGCTCGGTGTTATTTGATCCTGTGTTTCCCAATGACAGGATAAGTTGTCATGAAACTGTATTTTTCAATCGGGATAGTAACTGCGTTTCAGTACTATTTAAGCGGTCAGTTACTGAATGGGATTCACAGTTGTGCCTTGGCTTGCATCGGACAAGGACGGGTCAGCGCTCTTTGCCGATCAGCCCCAACATGGCTGCAGCTCTTTCCGTCGTCTTGCTGGTGTTGCTGCGGTCGTCATGGAGCAGCGGTTGTGAGCCGGTGGGGCCCGAGGGCCATGGCTGGAGCTACCACGACCTGCACGCCTGGAACAGCGTCGAGGGCTCGCAGTGCGGTCAAATCAGCAAGCAGCAGTCGCCCATTGATCTGACCCGCGGTCGGTGCGGGGCCTCGGACGCTCAGCCACCGCACGTGGCGCTCAACAGGAACTGGTGGCCGGTGGTCGTCTCCAACGACGGCAGGACACTCAAGATCGACTTCGACTGCTTCGGCGCCGTGGACGGCCTGGCCAGCCCCATGATGCTGTTCTTCCCCGGGGCACAGAGTGACCTGCAGGTGTCGAAGGAGGACCTGCGATACGAGCTGGCAGAGGTGCACTTCCACTGGGGTGGGAAGGGCAGGAAGGGCTCCGAACACGCCATCGAGGGTCAGCGATTCGACGCCGAGGCGCACTTCAAGTTCAAGCACGTGACCTACTCGCTGACGTCCTACTACCAGGTGCGTCTGACGGAGGGTGCGCTGTACGCTGTCGGGGTGCCGCTGATCGCCGGCGCCGGCGAGCGCTTCAACCTGGTCTCCGACACCGGCTTCCCAACGTTCGGCCTCGAGGACACCATGAGTCAGGTGCGCAGGTACAACACCGGTTTCAACATGACCATCAACGTCGCCGAGCTGAAGACGCTCTTCGACCGGGTGCTGCAGAACGTGTACAAGTACACGGGAAGTCTGACCACACCGCCGTGCACGCTTAAGCTTCCCTGGCTGGTGTCGGCTGAACCCACTTACATCAAACCAGAGTTCCTCGCCGAACTCAGGAAGCTGCGAGATGAAAAGGGCAGCGTCATCAAGCATAACGTTCGTCCACTTCAGAAGAAGACTCTTGGAGGCCAGTCATGTCTTAATGAAGGGTTCTTCTCTCTGGGTAACTTCGGGACTCCTGGTGACTTCGGGGCTGCTAGTAACTTGAGAGCTGCTCGTAACTTCGGAGCTGCTGGTAACTTCGGGGCTGCTCGTAACTTCGGAGCTGCTGGTAACTTCGGGGCTGCTGATAACTCCGGAGCTGCTAGTAGCTTCGGGGCTGCTGATAACTTCAGGACTGCTCGTAACTTCGGAGCTACTGGTAACTTCCGGGCTGCTGGTAACTCCGGAGCTGCTGGTAACTTCGGGGCTGCTGGTAACTCAGGAGCTGCTAATAACTTCGGGGCTGCTGGTAACCTCGGGGCTGCTGGTAAGTTCCGGGCTGCTGGTAACCCCGGAGCTACTGGTAACTTCGGGGCTGCTGGTAACTTAGGAGCTGCTAGTAATTTCGGGGCTGCTGTTAACTCCGGAGCTGCTGGTAACTTTGGGGCTGCTGGTAACTTCGGTGCTAATGGTTTTTATTGATCGTGCGCTCTCTGTAGCTATTCATGTAGTGTATATTTATGATTTATTGAATGTGTTGTGTGGGTACCGATTGTAAACGTGCCTGCTGTTACCTCCTTCGAAATATTTTGTTTGAATGTGTGCGTTTTGCAATACATGTAGCTCAGGAAACGTATGTATTTTTCAACATTCCGTGGATAAATAAATAGTGTGTCCTTTCCAATTTCTAGTTTCTTCTCGAAGACAAATCAAAGGTCATAAACAATCATTAAAGTCAGTATTTTTTTTTCTAAAGTTCTACCCTCATGGTAAACCTAGTTTCGACGATATTGTTCACCCCCGCAACAGAAGGTGCGATATCAGTGTTTTCAGTCATTCTTTCAGCAAATCTGTGAGGTGTGTCAAAGCTGCGTTCAAAAACATAATTATACAATGATTGCCAAACTAAAGAAACCCTCCAGTGTTCCGGAGTTGCAACTAGCGTCGATCCTGCTATCCGGGCCATTTTTCGTTGCCAGAAGCCTGCTGGTGTCATGGTCTGGGCTGCCGTCGCATCTGACGGCTCAAAAGGGCCCTTGGTCTTCATCAAGGAGGGTGTGAAAGTCAATTCAAAGGTTTAACCCTCGCCGGACCTATTGGTTTTCTACATACGCGCCGGCCGAGGGGGGGGGGGGGCGGGTACGACCCCCCTCGCCGTTTCGTCCCTGGTGGAGCTAGCGCGTCGCGGAAAAAACGAGCGTGTGCGCCGTTACGAGACGCAGAGATTGGTACCCGATTTTAAGGTCCTAGGTCAACCGGTGACCTCTGAGGTCAGGTCAAGTGCCCCAAGGTACGGTTCAGTTTTTGGTGAATAACTTCGCAAAAACGGCCGCAGAGCCGCGATTTTGGCAGCATCGTGTGTGCCTCGCTCAGGCGCTTCGAATGATATACTTTTTGTCCGGGTCAGGTCAACTTGGGGTGTTGACCTCAGGTCAAGGTCAGGTCAGCACGCCCAGGTCACGAAGTTGGTCGAAAGAGGTCATGTCGCATATCATTCGATTCGGCAGGTCTTCCTGAGTCCATTGGTGGCTTTCCCAACTCGCTAGCTCAATTTGATCAAGAGTTATTGACGAAAAACTAATATGACCTTGATGACGTCATAAATGACGTCACGCAAGGTCAACATTGCAAAAGTGAGGCATCTAACCTTGCAAGGAGTGCATCAAAACACGATTCTGTGTGCTTGAGATAGTTGGAGATCGTTCCCGGCGCCAGAATAGCAGTTTTCATTTTTCCCCATTGACTTATAATGGTGAGGTCACGAAAATGACCTTACCTCATATGACCTTTAGGAAAAATCCGAGATATACAAGTTGTGAGACTCATAATGGATACTAGATCCTGCAAGTTTCATTTTCCTGTGACATCTCCTCTGGCAGTGAGGGCGTTGCGAAGTTGCGACATCTGAAGACCGTGCAGAGGTTCACTTATGACGTCATAGGTCAGTGACCTGACCCAAAAATGCGGTTGGTGTCAAAAGATCCGGCTTGAATCAAAAATCAGGTATGCCAAGTTTCAGCTCTCTATCGCCAGCGTGTTCGGAGCTATCGCGAAAAAAAACCCTATGGGGGGGGCGGCACCCGCCCCCCCCTCGGCCGGCGAGGGTTAAGTCCATCTGCTGGAGGAACATGTTTTGCCTTGGGCCACACAGTCTTCCAAGACGGAAACGTCTTGGTCCAGGACAGTGCGCCGTCCCAAACGGCCAATATCACTCAGCAGTGATGCAAGACCCACATGTCTGGGTTGTGGGACAAAGACATTTGGCCACCATCAAGTCCAGACTTAAACCCGATGGACATCGCCATCTGAACCATCTTAGAGAGGAAGGTGTGTGCAACGCCACACAGCAAAATCATCGCCCTGACGTTGTCCCTCGAGACGGCATGGTCGAATCTTGGCGAGGACACCGTGCGGCGCCCCTGCCCTCCGCAGAGGGACGTTTCGAAACAGTGGTGAAGGCCAATTGTGGCCATATTGAGTCGTAGTGCTGTCGCTGAGATGTGTACATGCTGCTGAATATATGTACCAAAAATCAATTCGACCAAAATCACTTGATATTCAATATGCTCCTCTATCCTTTCTACATGTCCACTGAAAATTTCAAGTTCTTGTGGTTTGTGGTTTCGGGGATATGACCTTGTTTTTCAGGTCATGTCATGACCCAAATGACAAATATCCAATATCTTGCGTTGGCTATGGGTTTTGTGAGCTTTTGACACCTTGACTTCGGCCTTTTTTGCCAGTCTTACCTCCCCCTATCATAGAACATGTTGTTCGGCGATGTACAGATGTCAAGGTCAGGGTCAAGGTCAACCTAGGTCATCTAAAACATTGCGTTATAGGCAAGCTGAATTTACTTTTGTGAAGTTTCTTTTATTGTATTTTTGATAAAAGCTTCTCATTTCATGATCTCATCTAATATGGACACATAAACAATCGGTGCACACATCATTACCTATGCATACAGACACACACAGACATACAAACACATATCATTGCCCTTGACCTAACTTGACCTGAAATGACCTCAGCAGCAAAAACCTGGTCGGATAGTGTGATAAAGAGGTTCTAGCTGCCTTGGTACCACAATTCGTCATCGTCATCGGTGTATGATGAGCAGCGCACTTGATATCCAACGGTGACCCAAAACAGCAACATTTCTTAGTTTGACCTGACCTGGAAGGTCGTCTCTTCCCAAAGAATCTTTTTGGTTTACTGCGAAGCTCTATCTCCAACAGGAACGAAATGGCGCCGGGGGGGGGGGGGGGGTGGCAGCCCCCCATGTGCGTTCTAGGATGGGAAAATGGCATGTGCGGGCGAGGGTTAATGTAACTGTATTTCATTTCTGGAAATTTCGGCCTTTTAAAGCAGATAAGGAACGATATCAAGAAACATACAGAAACTACATAATATCTAGGACTCTACCGCGACGAAATATTTCTATCTCGAGTTTTCAAAGAATTTCATGCACTCGGCCAAGACCTCGTGCATGAAATGATTTGAAAACTCTCGAAAGAAACATTTCGTTTTCGCGGTATCGTCCAAGAATTTATATTCTTCGACCAGGGGCTAATGACATGGGGGCACCATGTTTTCCTACTTACAGGAGCGCCAAAATGCACGATTAGTGAAATTTGAAGTGAAAGCCTTTAGCGAAAATCGGAGACAACTTCCTCTGTCTCTCTCCCTTTTTCTGATCTTTATAGATATGATATCTATATCGTTGCGGCGCCCTGATTCGTCACTCCGCAGGGCGGTGTATTTTTTTTTTCGGCTAGAGGCTTTAGCTCCCAAGCCTCTCCCCCGGATCGTCCCCTGGCCTATGTAAAGACACTCATGCCGCTGTGAAATTTGATTCACCAGTGGACGATTAGGCGTTCCTCGCTGTTTCAGCTAGTACTGGTATGTTTCGAGCAAACCAAACAGCACAACTCTCAACTTGACAGTCAATAGTCATACATCTGGTAAAGTCTCAATTAACCGGCACTGAGCATAACCCGCAAATACACCCCTCCTGCACTTTACATGCCACTTCGTATGTACGACAGATGGATACGAAGTAGCATTCAGGACATTCGTAGTCACGACAAAAGTCAACTGGCATGTTCTGTATAAAAAGCATCACCGTCACGCTTGCGTCATCGACACTATCGCATACATACTTATGGATCTGAGCTTCGCATACACGGATCAAAGCCTTGAATCGAGAAAATTAGCCACAGTCTCCTAAATCTAGCCCGAAATAGCACCTCAGTGGCGTTCACTACATGCATAAAAAGGAATGTGACAGCTGACAACCAACAGGGAAGGAGCTTGGTGCATGTCACCCATTTGACGGTCGCGCTGATCCATTTCCATAGGCATCGTTGACGGAGGCGTGTCGCACGCGACCCATCCGGTGGCACCGCGCCCGTCAGTACTTAAGCGGCAGTATCGCACTGGCGGCGGTTCAGAAGTGCTGTGCACCTGCGGGCACCGGCCAGGCGCCGTGTCCATGGACTGTCGGCTGTGCTGGCGATGGCCACAGTTCGAGGTGCGGCTCTGCTGGTGCTGCTCATAGCCCGGTGCCAGGGCTGTGGTCTGGCCCCGCCCGAGGGCCTGCCCTGGAACTATCGGGACTTCCAGCACTGGGAGAGTCTGGACGGATCATTCTGCGGCGAGCAAGAGGAGCAGCAGTCGCCCATCGATCTCTATGGCGAAGAGTGTGACGAGGACGAATCCTATCAGCCACGCGTAAAGCAAAACAGCAAGACATGGGACGTCACGGTGACGAACAACGGCAGAACGCTCAAACTGATGTTCGACTGTGATAACCAGGTGGCCAGCAATGAGGCCCACGGCCCACTGACTCTCTACTCCGATGTCGGAATGGAACACGAAGGTCTGGATTATGACCTGGCGGAGCTGCACTTCCACTGGGGCGAGGACGACCAACACGGCTCCGAGCACGCGCTGAAAGGTAACAAGTTTCCCGCTGAGGCCCATCTGAAGTTCAAGCACCGGTCTCACGCGGGCGTCGCGTTCCACGTGGCTAAGCTGACGGAGGGTGCGGTGCACGCGCTGGGGATTCCACTCATCAGTGACGACCGGGGCGGCAGTGATATCAAATTTCCCACACTCCGCCTGGAAAAGAAGATGAAAAAGGTACGAAAGTTTAGATCCAGTTTCCGCATGAAAGTGAAGGTCAAGGAGCTGAAAAGGCTACTAGACAAGGTCTTAGATAAAGTGTACAAATATATCGGGAGCCTGACCACACCTCCGTGCACGCTGGGCCTTCCCTGGTTGGTTTCAGCCAAGCCGGCAAAGGTGAAGTCTTCGCTTCTGGACGAACTAAGAAAGCTTAAGGACGAGACAGGCCAACAGATTAAACGTAACTACCGAGATTTGCAGCAGCACACCGACGAGCTGGAACTGTGTCGGCACGACGATTAGGAGAATCCGTCACTAATCATCTCTTATGATGACGAGAACACATCGCTGCACGACTGCGTCCACCGACTTCAGTGCTGTGTGTTAACGACGCCAAGTAGTCGGCAGTCGAGCGATCCGCCCGCACATCTCAGACCAAACGAGCGACCACGCTGAAGAAGCAGCAAAACATGCGCCCGTTTGAGGGGTGTCATCGAGAGGACTCGGCGCGGCGCAGCACTACACGAACAGCACAGGGGTCATGTCTAACAGCATCTGTATTCCGCATGGGCAGCGTAACAGGTGGACGACAGCCTCTGCTGACTGACTTAGCATCACTTTCGTCAGCGGACAGCGTCACCTGCAAGGAACAGCTGACAACTAACACAGAAATTCCAAGAGAATTGTAATTGTTAGTTAACTAGCCTTCAGATTCAGTATCAGTAGTTTCACATATGCGAGTGCATGTGTTCAAGAACGCCAGTTCGTGGGCTCGTGTATGTTCGCCGCCCGCGCTACTACACATTTTCGATGCATTTTAAGACAAATGAAGTCCAATTTAAAACAGTTTATTTCTGAATTAAAACAATTGACAGGCGGGTTAAAACACGTGACATTCAGCTTAAAACAACTGACACGCGATTTAAAATAAATGAAAAGCAAATTAACATAAATGACATGCAATTCAATCATACAAATATAGGTACGTAAAGCTATGCTGAATAATTATGTTTTACTGCAAATGAACACAAATATTGTGTTCGGCTACATGATTATTTGTAGGGAGAAAATTGAAAGACGCCTCTTTTGGACGAAAGTCATTTTAAACACTTTCAAACACCGAATTACAATTTACAAGTAACGTTGACAGTTGACCCAATGAACATAAAAATACATAGCACCCGTGACCCCTGTTTATGTCCATGAGGTCATGTCAGGTCACGAAGGGTATCTAGCAGGTTTTAGCAAATGGATAGAGGCATGTTAGATTGTTAGAGTCATGAAAACGCCTTAGATTTGTAAGCTCCACCATACGAATCGGCTGATACGCAACATGACCCTTTCCGGTCAGGTCAAGACCTTGGCCTGAGGTCATTTTTTCAATTTGACCTTTCAAGGTCAACTTAAAGTTCATTCGATGCGTCTTGACGAGAGGAACGCGATGCAGGTAAAGTTTAGCTTGTGCAAAGCTTGAGTCATAAGTAAGTGCAAAAAAATCCGCCAAAATCGTCCATTTTGGCAGTTTTTGCCACCTGCAGGCTAGAACGTTGACGTTAGATCAAATATGGGAAAAAATATTCAGAGAGAGCGTTAAGTGGGCTATCAAATGCGCCTTTCCTCGGTGCTGTAGCTCTCTTGGTTCCCGAGTTATGTGTCGGCTTCTAAAAATTGTTGACATTTGACCTGAAAATCTGCAACATTTGGCCTTCAATGACCTCTGGTGACCTGACTGACCTTTGAGCAAAAAGTGACTGAAGTAGTTCCGTCATTTTGTTTTGTCGCTCTCTCGCACACTGCCTTCCGCGTATCGCTACGTGGCCCAGGAGCCGAGTTAGAAGGGGAAGGGTGTTCAAACACCCCCCCCCCCCCCAGCAGGGCGTGGAAATCCAGGCCCCCCAGCGGGATGCGGGTTAAGAAGGAGAAGGACAGTGTTGAGTGTATGTAGTGTAGGATTCAATGTCTTCGTATGGAAGCTCTAACGCCAGTCATTTTGAATTTTTAATCCAATGAAGCAAAGCTATGTTAAAGTTCTACGAACTGTCACAATTGCAAATATGAAGTCGAACACATTGTTAATTTTATTTGCACTAAAACGTAATTATTCAGCATAGTTTGAAGTAACTATAATTTCATGATTAAATTGCATGTCATTTATATTAATTTGCTTGTCATTTATTTTAAATAGCATGTCAGTTGTTTTAAGCTGAATGTCACGTGTTTTAACCCGCCTGTCAATTGTTCTAATTCAGAAATCAACTGTTTTAAATTGGACTTCATTTGTCTTAAAATGCATCGAAAATGGTGTATATGTTACAGGGAGTTTGAGAAATCCGTGAGTTTGCAAACTCCCTAGTGAGTTTGCAAACTCCCTGACCCATCAGTGACTTTGCAAACTCACTAGGGAGTTTGCAAATTCACTAGGGAGTTTGCAAACTCACTGACCGGTCAGGGAGTTTGAGAAATTCCAGAGCGATGGGGTCAAATAAAATCAAATGTGTAAGATGAGGGTGGCATACGTGCCGTCCGTGATGTTAAAACAAAAGCGACTAGTGGTACGGCCTATATAACCGTCGCACGCTGACATAAAGCTTACAGATCCTTCATTGTTTTACCAAAAAAAAAGCTTCTCGCGGCTATGTAAAGGGGAAGTTCGGAGCAACGTGCTCCTCCGTTCCGTCGTTTCCATCCTCAGGAATCAGGATACTGAAATCCTTCTCGTCCACGCCGAAACCCCCACTCCCGGGCTGGACAGGCACCTTTATCTCATGCGGGCTGCTCCCTTGGAGCGGCACCGCTGCTCCCGAGGGAGCGCACCCCGTAGCCGGGTGCAAAGAGTGCTTGGTCGGTCTGTCAATTCGGACGGGCTCAGCCCCGGCGACTCTGCATATAGGGTGTCTGCCCAGACCAATGTCTCCCCCTATAATTCCTATCATTCGTCCGACTCTGAAATGGTCTTGTCAGACCGAAAGGGCCTAACCCAACAAAACAAAAACAAACAAGCAGCGTGCGCCATTCGCAGCTGGGCTGGCTGCCAGTAGCGCCGGCTCTCGATGACACGTCTATGGCGGAGTGGGAATGGGCGTGAATTGATGCGTGTGCCTATACTTTAGCATAAGTGACCAAACAGTCAGCTGTTTCTACTTTGATATATTTAGCCTGGCTCTGGAATAGCCACACTTGAGTGGAACGGGTCTAATTGGGACGTGAACTAAATAAATGTATAACTAAATAAAGCGGCGGTACATGCATGGGTAAATCACTGAACAGTTTCAAATAAAAAAGGTATTTATGGTGTGCATATGATCTTTAAGCTTTTTGTCAGCGTGCGAGGCCTTAGAGCTAGCCTCCTTTGTTTTAACATCACGGACGGCACGTATGCCACCCACATGCTGCACACTTGTTTTTATTTGGCCCAATCGCTCTGAAATTTCTCAAACTCCCTGACCGGTCAGTGAGTTTGCAAACTCCCTAGTGAATTTGTAAACTCCCTAGTGAGTTTGCAAACTCACTGATGGGTCAGGGAGTTTGCAAACTCACTAGGGAGTTTGCAAACTCACGGATTTCTCAAACTCCCTGTAACATATATAAGCCAACGACTCATTGCCGCAGAATTGAAATGTGATCGATGAGTTTCTCTTTCTCACCTTATTTACATCACAAGATCATCATTGATCGCTCTCGATAGGACCACCAATGTTGATTGCAATAAAAACGAACATTTCGTGCATCACTGTTGACATTTCTTTGAGTCCATTTATTCATTTCGCCTGTGAACAGACATTAGGCATTCTTCAAGGTATTGTTGTGAATTAAATGAAATGTTGATTTAGGGACGAAAAAAGAAAAAGAAACTACTCAAACCAACAAGCGCATTAGTTTGATTTGACTACAGGGTGTCCAAGAATTACCCGATCATTGCTTTCTTTTTATCGTCCGAAATAGTAAACCAGAGTAGTCATGAAATGGCACATGCAATGGACACGATAGTTACAATATTAGCCGACAATGGTAGGAAAATGCCAGCCGATGTTAGTTTCAGTGTTTTACGGGTCCCCTAAACTGGTTGTGGGCCGGTTTTCATTGACCTCTTCCCGGATGATAATACAATCATTTTGAATGAAATTTACATCCAGCGTCCCAAGGCCATAATGTAATAAGGCACCCCCCCCCCCCCCCTCCACAAATAATTATGCCTACTCATACACCACTGTGACGTTGTTTTTGACATCTATCTTAAATGGAGAACCTCCATGCCTGAACATGGCGCGAACTTTGGCTTCCAAATCCAACCGACTTGGTTTTCCAAACAACCCCGTTCGTTCATGGCCATTTGGTTCACGGCATCCAGTTATGTAAGTTGTTACGGAGCGAGCGAAGCGAGCGTAGTCTTTCCTTGATTACCGGAAACTTCTGAGTAACTATGAGCGGCCGGCCGTGCGGACGCGCGAGGCTTCTTTTATCTCAGCAACCACTTGACAGATGTACACGCGGTAATTTTTGAAGGGTAGCTTCATTCCTTCTACCAAGTATTGGACTATTCCCAATGCATGTGGGTGACCCCTTATGCACGTGCCACGTGCAAAACGAAGAGGTGTCAGTTTTGTAATATGTAGTTGCAATATCTCGGTACTTGCCGATTGTGCTGAAAGTTGGCATGTAGGTAGGCACCCACTAGGCAATGCACAGGCATCCATGTGCCAGAGTTCAGGTGCTGCTGCACGTGCGCACGTGCAGGGGTCGTTTCCAGATCTCGAGCACGGCTGGACCGATGGCGCTCAAATTTTATACATTTAGGGACCAGTTAGTAGGGTGCCGTGCACAAGTCAGATGGGACCCATTTTGCAAGTGCGCACGTGCAGAGTGCCGCTTCCAGATCTCGAGAGCGGCTGGGCCTATTGTGCTCAAATTTGGTACATCGCTAGAGACCGCTTAGTAGGGTGCCGTGAACAAGTCAGTTGGAGGTACACTTCGAAATTTCGCACGTGCAAGGCTCACCCTCTCGCTCGTTCCATGAGTCGCCCCAAACGGCGTTTATACTGGTAACGCTATAATATTACCAAAGTAGTACCTACTATGTGTCAACGGTCGTCTTTGGGGCATCATATGACGATGATTGCTGAATGAGTGCACCGTGGCTCAAAATGTCTCGCACTTTGATTTTCGACGGGCGCCTGGCCGTCTCCGCTGTTGGGGCGTTGTCGCAACCTGACGTCCACACGCGCCTTTTTCGGACGGTTTAAAAGTCAGAATATTTTCGTTAGATCACAGTTTGTTTCAGCTTGCTTCGGTGTTGTATATGTTAAAGGATGCCTTATAAAAGTATGATGCTTGTATGCCATTAGAATCGAGCACATACGTACTTTTAGCAACATATAAATGTTTGTGTAATTCTAAGACACTCTATTTCTAATTTCATTTCAACGCAGCCCGCACGAATGACTGAATGAGAACGATTGACAGTGACAGCCCGCTAGATTTTTTTATTTAATTGCTTGACACTACATACATTAAATAATCTGTGCAATTTGTTTCAATGTGATGAAATTATGATATTGAAGCGCTGCAGTGTTACAACGAACTGTGCACTGTACAGTGTGTACCATCACGCAATATGCCTGTTATCAAGCACGAAAAAGAAGCGGCTTGACAAAGCCCGAGATGCAGTATGCTATTGCTGAATGTTCCTTAACATGATGGCGCAAAATATCTAATAACAGTTGGTTTCGAATGGCCGTGTTCAATACTTCACAGATAACACCGATCATGAAACGGGTAAGTATGTAGGCATTATAATTTGGAAAAACGAGTCCTTGCTGGTGATGTAAAAGACCTCTGTGAGTGTGACATTTTCCGTCAGCCGCACCACCCCAACATGGTTTTATTCCTTTGGTTTGGTTTTCATTTCCGAAAGCGCCGAAGACATGCCAATGTGTACCATCGTACGCCATAGAATAATTTTCAGGAACCAGTACAATCAATAAACATGTAGATATGGTCGAGCTAAGAGCGAACTATCCATCGTTGCTATCCATCGCCATCATTCAGGGAAAAGGGTGTACGTATGTGAAAGCGTGAAGGCGACGCTGTCACAGCCTTCACGTCTGTGCCAATCTAAGCGGTGTCGTAGAGGGTTGGTGGACATTACTTCCAGCGGCCAGACAGTTCTATAGCCTTGGGCCAGACATTAACATTTGGAAGCGAGATACACCACTTATAGACTTGGCTAGTTGGTCATATTGTTGCCAAAATAGCCAATGTCGCCAGCTACGCGGTCGTTGACGATACAGTGAGACTACGTTGGTAAACATTAATAATGCTGCATCTTGGACGTTGAAAAATAGGCGAGTCTATTTATTTATAAAGAGAGGCATTCTTTCTCAAAACACACGGAACTTATATAATTCTGGAATAGCGCATGTTAAGTCACAGTTTCGCGTTTATGTAAGCATCCTCGGCCAGCTTCATTATTCTTGAGACACTGTCCAGTGTCGCGAGTCCTTATTGTGTCCCGGTTCTTAAAAAAGGTTGCAAGGAAACGGTGCTCTATATAAAAAAGTTCAAAACAATAATAGCTTTGAGCTCAAAATAAAAGGCTACAGTTGTTCACTAACGGCGACCAGGGATTGTCGATATATCTCGGTTTTCAGAGGCCTGTCCTATTGCAAAACTCCATTTTCCCCGGCTGTTTCCGCGAGCCGCCTGCACGCCAGGCAATGGACGGGTCTGCAGGCTGCAGTTATTTAAGAGGGGCACCGGCTGAGTGTGGCCCGAGTCCGGTCCTCCACTCGGCATCGGGTGGTGTTGGTGTGTTCAGTCTACCAGCCAGGATGCCAGCCGCCCGCGCCGTGCTTCTCCTGTCGCTGGCCGTGGCCTGGTGTGACGCCAGCTCGTGTCCTCTCGTGCCTCCACATGGACTTCCATGGAACTACCACGACTTTGACTCGTGGAAGGACGTCCCCAACTCGCGCTGTGCAGAGGAGAGCAGGCAGCAGTCTCCCATCGACGTGTATGGTGAACACTGTGAAGATGACTTCTTTAAGCCGTGGGTGAGGAAGAACAGCGACAAATGGGATGTTATCGTTACCAACGATGGCAGAACGCTCAAGATGATGTTCGACTGTTTCGGACAAGTTGCTGACAACGGCGCTCATGGTCCGCTGACTCTGATCTCCAATGTTGTGGAGGAGGAAGGCTACGACTATGACCTGGCAGAAATTCACTTCCACTGGGATAAGCACGGTGAAGAAGGCTCCGAACATGCCGTCGAGGGAGAGAGGCGTGCCGCCGAAGTGCACTTGAAGTTCAAGCACATTGCCCTGGCTGGCGTTCCATTCCATGTGGCGAGAGAACAAGAAGGAGCGCTGCATGCGTTGGGCATTCTCCTCACTGACGACAGGCACTTCCACGGCGACATGCATTTTCCAACGTTCCACCTCGAGAAAGACATGCATCATGTACGCAAATATTCATCAAGCTACAGCAAGGAGATCCACATCGATGAGCTGAAGGACGTTCTGGACACGGCTCTGGAGAACGTGTACAGGTACATCGGCAGTCTGACCACGCCGCCTTGCACCCTGGGCCTTCCCTGGCTGGTTGCCACCAAGCCAGCAAAGGTCTCGTCATCATTCCTGCACCAACTGAGGAAGCTGCGGGACGAGCATGGCCACCACATGCACCGTAACCACCGGCCTGTTCAGGAGCGCAGAGATGAGCTCCTGATATGCCGACACGAAGGATAGACCATGAGCATGGCCAATGCATATTCGGCACCCGTAAACCGTCGCAGATACTTTGAATGGAACGCGTTACACATTAACCAGAAACGTCGAGCCTTGACGCAGAAAGGCCTGCACAACAAATCTACCTAAACGCACCAATCTGACCGCTGAAAAAAATTACCATACGGACGTAACTTTGCATATGGTTGATGTGGAACGCTTCCAACTATCAAGTAAGCGTGGACTTCCAAACTAGCTTAAACGACACGTTTTATTTTTACTCTTGCCATGCAATAAATTCTACAATTTGAGAAATTGTACATGAAACAAGTGTTTCCCATAAACCTACAGGGATGACATTGTCGTGAAATAATTGCAACGACACCATTAGCATATTAGGTACACTGTAGATATTTGTTGAGACGGATGGCATATTACCCGATTTCACACAACTCTTGAGCGCGTTTGTACACCCATGTGCCTACAAAACAAAATCCTAGCGTGTCATTCAAAACGATAATCTGGAATGAGCAATCTTTGTTACTCGGCACAAAAGACTTTACAAGCTGCAGTTCAGTTACCGTGCATTGCGTATGTTTGTAAAACAATAGCGTCTGCTGCTTGGATATAATCGGTTATAACCAATATTTCGATTTTATTATTAATGGGTAATTGGTGGTGGTGGACGGCAGTGGTGGTGATGGTGGTGAAGGTACTGACTGATGACATCTATATCTGTGTTCTGTATAGTCTGCTTTATTTCATCGGTAAAAATAAGATTTCCGCATTCTCCCATTTCCCCGTTGGAGACGATAAAGAGGAAAGTCATATTTTCAATGGAGGCCTATGCACAGAATGCGTTGATTTTTTCGATTGGTATTCAACGTGTCTCAAAATTTCTGACCCAGAAACACAAGAAGCAAAACTTACACTGAAGTGCGGTGTTGGGGAAATCTCTGGAGTTGGTCATGTTAACCGTCTAGTTACAATACCTCAACTTTTAAGAAGCGCTTTGAAAACAAATACCAATTATGTCTTTCCGGTGCTCAGATGCACTTATAGAAAGCGTATGGAAAAAGGCTAGCAACAGTTTTTGCTTCAGACGTAATGATCATGCCAATAAGAAATAAATATACAGACACATAACTGTATTTGCATCATGAGGCGAACACGACCAACAGAAGTAAAAAACAGACAATTGTAGAAGGGCTTGCATTCTAGCAAGCCACATTCGGCGATCACGCTCACGCAGTGGTAGCTTCACAGTCTCCAAGAGACACCGGGCTGGTGGATCGCCACGTTCGCGCACACTACCACCTCGCCGCTGTTGAGCAGCTCAAATCTTCAGCACCTGGGCAGAGAACACCTCCGGGGCCAGGTCGCGCTCCGAGGGCGGCATCCGGAGACGGGCGTAGGAGCCGCCCACTTGGCCCCGCGACAGCCGGGAGGGGTTCACCACCAGGCACCCAGACACCTCCTGAAATACGCATAAAAAATAAGGAGTCATGCACTCGAACATGCCTTATGATGTTATAAATGAGGATGACATACCATATAATTTAATATGAGGATGCAAACGGAGCGTGATAACAAGAAGACCCGACATTGGATTAAATGCTCAAGAGAAAGGTAGCACTAGGGAAAATACTGGTGCCGGCAAAAAAAAAATACTGGCAATGTTTCAACACAGGGTATGCCAAAATGTGGAAAATCGTGCATAAGCCTAAGACTGACTCATTTGTTTATTTGTTTATTTCTCCAAAAACAACCACAGGGCAATGCCCAGTTACGGCTGCAGTCAAAGTTCAGCACAAAGGATTGTGTTAAGGAGTGTGTTTTCATCGCTCCTTAATGCCCACCTTTCAAATTAAGAAGAGAGAAAATATAAATTCAGCATAGCTGGCACCAAAGTTGCTTATAAGTGAGCAATGAAACATTGGCCTCAATCCATAATTTTCGAGGCGGCATTTCACCAGTGCCCTGTTCAAGTGTCTGCGGCCGCCACGGCTACCGCGTTCAAAAAGGCGCATAGCCTTCAGGCTTATCAGGCGACACACAGACGGCAGTTACCGCCGTCCTGATTGGCCCGTTAGCTAAGCCCCGCCTTTTCGACCGCGGGAGCCGCGGTGGTCGCAAACACTTGAACAGGGCCCTGGTTACTAAAAGGTTAAACATTGGCAATTACTGGGCGTCGACGCCAAATGACAATGGGAAGGCCAGTTTGTCGGAATTCCTCGGTAAGAGGCCCTACTAGTTATAACGGATGTGATCATCAAGAGACACACGAAGTGGCGATCATTTCTAGCCCACAGTACTCGTACTAACACGACTATCAAATAGGTCCGTTTGCGGTTCTGTTCACTCACGGTTTCAAAAGGTGCTCCAAGCTGAGTACTGTGTAGCCTTGCACAGTTACAGTGTCGCTCACATAGCAGGAAAAGGAGAACCTGAGACACTTTTGGTGGATTAGCCGGATATTATGGGCTCAAAAAGTGCCACAGTCAATATCACAAAGCGAGGCCCTCGTAGAGGGGCAAGACGATACCGTTGCATTCAACAGCCACATGTTTTCCCTCAGTATTTTACTCCAGGACCAGCTACAGACGAGCGCCTTAAAAACAACAGCCAGTGTACCGAGAAGTTGATTTTGGAAAGGAGAGAGTGTAAGACAGCACGCCAGGAGCTCACGGACATGATGCCCCAGCACGGCCATCTTTGTCGCTAAGGAGATATGACTGCACAATATACAGCTGTGCTGAGTGATATGTGCTATGAACTTTCGTCCTGACAACTAGCCCCCACCCCCTCCCCCCACTTTACCCAGTGTTTTTTTCCTCGACATCAGTATTTCAAAAACAAATGAAATAGCTAGCCTATTACAGCTACCTAAGGCCTACTTAAAACTTCAAAAAGACATGTAGCAACTCGCAAACCGAGCAAACATTTGACACTAGAAGGCATCAATGCTTGCATTCACGCATCACCAATGCAAAATTACTTAATTAACAGCATCGAACTCATTCACCGAGCCTGTAGAAAATCACTCCTCTCAGACTTGACTGGGCCAAACCTTACAAACAGTCGTCCGTCCCTATTTACGGGATTCGGTAACAGTGAACATTATCCGAGTCAAATTTGTCTGCGAACGCCAATACATGATTGAAATGCGTTAGAGCAATTTTGCCATTAAAAGTCCTTTACTGTTGCCCAACTTGACAGTGGCTCCAAATCCCACTAACGGAACATGGCAGGAACGGGCCCACGCTTGGTTTTCCTGCTGCAAGAAAAAGCCAGTATTGCTGGCATAATACCTCACCTTGACGAAACCCTTGAAGTCGGAGGGTGTGACGAGCACGTGCGGCAGCACGGGCAGCTGGCAGTGGCGCTGCCAGTGCTGGAAGTCGAGTCCGACGCTCTCCTCGGCCGGGTAGAGCGGGTAGAACGACTGCTGGTCGATCAGATAGCCGGCCAGACGGGCCAGACGGTCGGACGGGCCGCCGCCCGGCCTGGCCGACACACAGAGCGGGTTAACTCAGCTCACACGCTGTCCAGGAGCAGCGGGGACGATGCTAACCAGATCAGGTAACTGCCATCCGGAAAGAGGTGTCATCGCAAGATGATATGGCACAGTAAGCAGCATCGGTAACGCTGACCCAATCAACAAACAAGCGTTATGAATTATGATTACTTGCGAGCAAAGCAAAATGTAGGTTAAAAAAAAACAGATTCACGCCAACCAACCACTCGCTAAGACGGATGTCGCACATGTTTGAGTAATTCAAAACAGAAATTTTCATAAACAATTTTCCAGCTGTAATTGTATGAGCCTGATTCCAAGAATGCGCCCACTGACGGCAGCCACTCACAGTTTGATGTCCTGCTGGCTGAGGTGCATCAGCACATCGGTGGACGTGGCGCCCACCACCAGTCCGTCGACTGAGAAGCAGCACGGGTTCGGCAGCATGGTGAACGGCCCGGCGGCGGCGGCGAACGGCGGCGTCGGCAACACGGGCTCCGCGTGCAGGTCCGAGGTGGACGGCATCAGCAGCACGCGCGTGTGTGACCTGCCGCGCACAGGGGGGGGGGGGGGGGCGTTACTCCAACGTCGGGGTAAAGAGCCGTTCAGTCCCTGATCACCGTCAGCGCACGGAAGGAGCGGAATTATGGGTGTTAAATAGCACTCGATGTTTGATCAGTGGTGGAATGCACTGCAATATAGGTGGGTCAAAGTTACATTTTTGGTCGAAGAATATACAAAAGTGCTGCACAAGCTGCACAAACCAGCTGCAAGACTGTTTTGATTGGTGATTCCCTGTTATCACTGTTATCATTTAAGATATTCGCTGTAAGTAAATCCTCAGCCAGGAATTATCACTTAAAACACACGGTGAATTTAGAAAATGGTCGCTTTCAAAGCACCTTAAACAGCCGGCATTGATCTACAAAACAGAAAAGCTGATAGCGGTGACGATACTGATCGGACAGCGGTCAAAAGGTACATTCGCCAGCGATTCATGTGCATAAGTCTACACAAAAGCACCGACGACCGATTTTATACAAAGCAGCGCAAAAAGGAGAAGTCCAGTTTTCCTATCCAAAATTCCCAGCGCCTACAGTAAAATGATGGGTGCCCTAAAGCGCGACAACTGTGGTCAATTTTGGACAGGTGCTCGTAGCCGGACATGGATTTGCAACCGTTCTAAATGCAAATACCTGGCGTGGTTGGTGGGCTGGCCCGTTGTGAAAGGTGCTCGTCTATTTCCCTTTCGAAAATAGCTTTACACTAACCCGAGAAAGGTAATAAGTGTTTTCAAAACATGTCAAGTCTTCATAATAAGCGCGCATGTCGTTAATCACATTTACACAAGTTTCAAACTGAGGCGCACTGTCATTTCTCGATCATTCAGCCATAATGTAATAAAAAGGTTACCTGTTACACTATGACTCAACTAACCACATGACATGTTAACAGGTGCAAGCTCGACTTCTGCGTGACTATTAATTCCTCCGTATCGCTTAAGAACATCATACACGCAATGTCATCGCAAGGGCAAGAGGTCGACAAATTACTTGCCCCTCTCTGTCTTTAAGTCGTCCAATCACACGGGGATATACCAAACTCCACCAGACAACCGCACACTGCTGCGGAGCCCCGCAGACAGCAAAGGACGAGCGGGCAGCGGTCGGGTGGCTAACCGCTACACCGATGTAGAGGTCTATGACAGAGCAGATTCAACCCAGAGACGTAGGGACTCCGAGCAGCCTTGTCCAGCAATCGCGGCCGCGAGGTGCTCAGAAACAGGCTGTTTAAGATTATCGCGTTGCATCTAAAGCGATGTCATTTCCAGTGAGCCAAGGCCAGACGGTCCCTGGAGCGAAGTTATTACCGGAACATAGCATTCACGGCTGTCATTGTGTAACAGCCCTGAACTCATGGGAAACGAGGTGGCCGTTTCGCGCCGTGTTAAGCGGTGGGTGTATGCATCGATCTGTATCGACTGCTGTCAGGTAGGAATTGACTACGGGATACGCTTTGACGAGTCAGCTCGCGACTCAGGCAGTACCTAATGTACATAGACAAATATGTTGTTTAAAATTGATTAAGTAAGCCAAGGATAAGCGATCAGCGGCGTCTCGAACTCTAATGCGCTTGCTTCTTCCTTTACTCATCAGTCGCAACAATTGAAATGATCATTGACACGTTAGTCACACTCATCCGGGGTCCGATTTTACTTTTTTGTCATAAACGCTGATAAACAAAACCGTAGATAACATTTACAAGTACATAAAGTTAGTGTATAGTTCATGCTATCTATGGTGTTGTTGATAAAAACGCTGGTACACAAACTGAAACACACACGGGACAAAGGTGGCGAGAGCAGTCACACAGCCCACTCAGGTGAGTGCAGTGCAATGGACAGAGGTTATGCAAGAGGTCACAGATCACAGCTGAGGTCAGATGTGAGGTCACATCAGTTTAGATGTCAGGCCCCGTGCACATTTCCACTCACCCCTTCACCGCCACCCTGATCAGCTCCAGAAGGCGGTTCCACAGTTCGTGGTAGGTCTCGGCCAGCTCGTTCTCGATTATCTGAAAACGGGCAGCGCCGTGTCAGTCCAAGCCGGTTAGCTTCCAGTTACTCACAAATTACATTAAATACAAACAAGATATTGAGTGGAAACTCAACTAGGAACACTTAGTGGAGGTGGGAAGCAGTGTCTCGCTGGCTAAATTGATCATTTGTCGGCATTAAGCGATATGGTTAGCATTTCGGTCCGTCCCTTATACATGAGACCCGTTACGACATCTTTCCTAACGTTTCTGTCATTTGCTTCAGCAGCAGGCTCGCTCTCGCCTACCACCAACACTGTGTGCGCTGTTGGAGTTCTAGTTAGACGGACGCGTCAGTTTATGTAGTCTTTTGAGCGTCCTAGGTTATCGGAAACATTAAGTGTGTGACCCATAATTCTACCTCAAAGTTGGCTAAAACTAAAACATAAAATCACTTCCCTCAACCTTCCACATGCATTCAACACATTTCACACCCAGTCATCCTCCCAAGTCTCTCTCATTTCGCCCGCCGCTCTGTCGCCCGCGGCTCATCACCTTGGTGTCGATGAAGGGCCCGACGAGGAGCACCAGGTGGGGTTTGAGGCGCGTCACCTGCTCCAGCAGGTCCCGCAGCGGGTTGTACAGCAGGTCCTCAGAGGTGGTGAACGGCCCGCAGGCGGTCACCAACGTCAGCTCTGTGGATCGTGCGGTGGAGGTCCGTCACGGGGCCAGAGCAGTGGGACATAGTACAACATAATGGTCAATGGGGCAGAGGATATTAACGTGCTTAGACGATAGTTTATTGAATACGGAAGCAGTAGCTCTCACGAACATCGAAGCTCCCCGTATATACGGGGAAAGACACAGGCTAGCAGCTCGTGTACAAAGGCGTTGGTAACCGATCTATTTTGTCCTGACTACTAAATATCATTTCGTAAGCTGAGAACTACTGTCCATTTTACATACCGTGTTTGGGTTTGACTGGCTCAGGAGTAGGCGGGGGTACCGCAGTGTAGATTCCCGAGGCGACAAACTTTCGGCCCGTAGGGTTGACTCCCGACACGGCCACCACCTGGCGGATAGAAATAGAAGCACAAGTTCCCCTCAGTCACATCGATAGTAGCGCCCCTGCGATAGTATAGTCGATTGATTCACTGTCGAATTACTGCAAAACTATTTCGATAGCAATGCCTCAATCAAGGCCGTACCAATAATCGATAATCTAACCACCCGCATAGAAGTTCATTTATATTGCGTTTTACACCTCCCTAGCCAGAGAAATTGTTTTGTTTCGTTTTGTTGGCTATAGGGCTAGGCCCTTTCGGTCTGACAAGACCATTTCAGAGCCGGAGGGATGATAGGAATTAGGGGGAGACATTGGTCTGGACAGGCACCCTAGTCACTGGGGCTGAGCTCGTCCAACAGGACGGGCATACCTCTCTGCACCCGGCTACGGGAGTGCTCCCTTGGGAGCAGCGGCGCCGCTCAAAGGGAGCAGCCCGCGTGGGATAAAGCTGCCTGTCCAGCCCGGACCAGGGGTAGCGGCGTGGGGAAGGATTTGGATGTCCTGAAGTTGGAAACGACAGAACGGGTAGTAATAAAAAATATCAACTGCCAGAGTAATAAAAAATTAGCTGCCCAGTGCAAAGAACCGTTCATAGATACCGGTGCGTCACACCCTCAGTTATCAGTCACGTGACCATACGAACCTGGCCGGTGAACAGTCCGGCGTTCTGTAGCTGGGACACGTCCAGCTCCACGTGCCGACCCTCTCCATAGTCCCCCTTGCCGCCCTCCAGCAGGATCGACTTAGAGTTGAGCCGACCGTGTCCATCGCAGGCGATACGGCCAACAGCATACACCGGCTCCTGCGGAAAGTTGGGGTTCCGTCAGCGTTCAATAGATGTCTCTGTCTACCACACCACCTCCCATACCGGCAGTGCCTAGTATCAAAATCCTCCTACAGATGGCTCTGCCTGTCGCCTACCCGTACCGCCACGTTTCTGCCGGACAAAGGCAGCAAAAAACGCTGACGGCGGCCGAGGCCGGGCCGGCGCGCTGGCCGCCCGCGGCGGAGCCATTCCAGCGTGTCCGGCGGCGGCGGCGCCAGTTTTTGTGAGGGTAGCGTCGCCGCTCCGCCGATCCCATCCCCGCGCGATGCTCAATCAAGGCGGCGGCGTCCCTCGCAGCGGGGAGGAGGGGGGGGGGGGTGCGTCGGGACGCCGGCCGGCCGGCCACCGCGGGCGTCGACCCGCGCCCGCACTGACAAGACACTGAGCGAGCCGCTACATGACTCACGTCCTGTGCTGTCGCCGGGCGGACCGTCGGGCGCGACAGGGCACCTATCGGCCCGTCGACACCGCGACCGCTCTCGTGCCGGCCACAGGACACTGTGACGTCATCAGCTATTCGCGGCGCACGCGGAGCTGTGCGGAAAGATGCGGGGCCGGCCCGGGGTTTCACAATCGGCACTTGTCTGGCGGCCAGACGAAACCAAAAGTTCTTGAATCTGGTAATGGAGAACTTTGGTAGAGTTGGTTTGACGAGAGGACTAATTTCGGCATCAAACACGGAAAGTCATACATGAGTAATCTAAATCACAGTCAAACAGGCTTCCATTCTTTCATTCCCAGACCAACACGTGCTGGAAATCATCGCCAAATAACAAAGCAATTTATTGGGTGGTGACGGCGTGCCTATTCCGTGCGTCACTTCCGTAATATTTCCAGCAGATGTGACTCATCGACCCATACCATATCTGTCCGTTCACCGTTTGCTCCGAGGCGGCTGCACCCGGCCATTTTGGAAGAATGCGCCTAGCGTGATGGCAACGGGCAATATTCCGCTTGACACCATAGGGCTGGCCACTAGATGAAGGTGTAGCGGTGTGTAGGTTCAGGCCAGATAAGGTAGCATTGGGGTGACCCTGGCATGGTTAGTGGTTACGCAGAAGAAGAAAAAATGCGCAAGACGCAAGGCATCATCCCTCGAGGCACCGACCCACGTAATGAAGGACGGGCCTATGCCTACAACTACAATGAAAACTCGGCGAGTATGAAAACCAAACCCTACACTGCGTACGGAAACTGCGAATCGTGAAGACCCTTGAACTATGACTTCACTCGAGCCAATCAACTTCGGCGCATCTTGGAATGCACGAAGGGCTAACTTTTGGAAGATGTATCGAGTACAGATTTCTTTACAGAAACAAAATAACACTGTCGCGAAGCATCGTGACAAGTACGGTAAAGATAAGTGATAACTCAGCTTTAGTCCAGAGTCCAGACAGGGCAAAGAGCAGACACGTTAGAACTTTGTGAAGGTCGACAAAACTTTGATCTTCGTTAATCGTATGATGCACAAAACACACTTAAACCCATCTTTCGTCGGGCCGATGATGCAAAATTCATGAGGCGATGCTGATCACGAATTCACTGCTCGTGGATCTCCGAGCCGATTCAGAGCCAAAGCTTCCGATGTTTGTGCCTCGTTCACAATCTTGAGTTGAAGACATCTGTCATAAATTAGCAAAGAGCTGCCGTAAAAGCAATACGGAGAAGGAATATGCCGCGGTATCGATAAAGAAGGCTTAAAGTTTAGGTCACTGGCAGATCCAGGGGGCATGAGCGGCAAATGTCCCTCCCCCATATCACTCGAAGACCAAAAATCACGAAAATTTGTCGTTTTTCTGGCATAGTAAAACTAACCTACCAAACAAACTAATCAGCTTCCGGAACTTAATTTCCTTAGAAATGACTCGCAACGCACGACAAAAGCGACATCCGATGAGTTTTGTAGTGTAGATAAGGTTTGAGGACAGTATTTCCGGCGCAGCACCCGATAGCCACTGCCACATTTTGTCCAGATACGAAGACTGAATAGGAAGATTGGCAGATAGACTCAAAGGTCAGTTTTTTTTGTGTGTGTATATGGCATACACTTTCTTGAGACATAGTTAAACGTACGCAACAACAGTGCACTGTGTAATGTGTATGATGTATGCAATCACTATTCATACTTGATACTATCATGCTCTCAGCGGATCCAAGTGCGTTTTTAGTGCTTTTTAGAAACGTCTCTTACTTCTATTTTTCCACATCACAAAGTTTGCGAAGGCCAACACCGGCTAGTTGCCACCGATGAACAATGGCGGATCCTGGGGACAGAATTAGGGATATTTGCGCGAGCCCGAAATCGACGAAATTTGCTGTTGATTTTGCATGGATAGAAAAGTCAGAAACTAATTCTTTAAAGGAAATTTTCATCTTTAAATGCACAAGAAAACTTGAGCAGGATCCAAAGAGTTATTTGGGAGGGCATAGGCGGCGGAACGGGGAGGGCACCGTGCCCCCCTTTGATTTTGGCATTTTAACATTAGCTCTATGGGCGTTGCATGGAAAGAATGGGACCAAAAGCCCCCCCCCCCCCTTAATTGAACATGTTCCGCCGCTACTGTGGGAGGGGGAATAAAATATTTTATTGGAGAGCCATTCCTCCTGCAACATTCATCCTCCTGCATGGATCTACAAGATCCATGGCTTTAGTGAAAATGTTCTATTCTCCACTTTTTGTCTTCCATCTCCGATAGCGATGGAAAAGTTCCACCGCCGACGCCAACCAGCGTGATCGCCAACCCTTCCACGTGTCTCAGCGACTCGGCTTTTGTCTCGGGGCCTCCGCTCGGCTCACCCCAGCAGCGCGGCGCGGCGGACCGCCGCCGGCCGCACCCACGTGGCCAGTCGGGTGGCTGTGACGTCACAGATCACGTGCTCGTCCCGCCCCCGGCGACTGGGTCCGGCGGATCGGCCGGCCGGGGCCGGAGCGGATCACTTCTGAGGACCCACAGGTATCACAGCATCACAGACTGCAGATTGGGGGAAGGGGCTGCAGATTCCCACTTTTGAAAATGGGGGTCGAAATCCGTGCTTCAAGAGATATGCTAACCTGCCATTTTTGGTCAGGACTGTCATAGAAATAACTTCGACAGCCCCGTAGCATTACTGGCGTTGAGGGAGTCACCAAAACACCATGCCCCTGACCCCCCCCCCCCCACCCCCGAATATGCAAAATCGTGTAAATGCTGGTATATCAGGCGAAGCCAAATCAAAGTGTTCATTCGAATCGTTCTGCCACCAATGCCGGGAATCTGTTACTTGCAACGAAAACTGCACCAATGCGGTATGCGTCTCTTTCCTTCACACAAGACAGTACCTATAACAAATCAACGACTGTACCGCATGCACTCGGTCGGTCTTAAGAAGAGTGCAGAGGGTGAACTGAGAGGCTCGGGGAGGGTGATATGCGGCACGATACGCTCGATACGCTCTCACGGCAGCACGAGTTGCCGTGACGTTCAGGGGGGACGGCGAGAGACGGTATCGGCGGCAGACGGTGCACGATGCCTGCAGACGGGTCCCAAACGGAGGGAGGGGAGGGGTCGGCAAAACAAGGGAGTTGGTGTGTAGGGTAGCCTGGGGCAAGACGCCCCAGATAATTTATTTTGCTACGTAACTTTTGCCCTACATCACCTGGAAGGCCAAATTTGTGCTCAATGCGTTCTTTGGACATTTTACTTTAAATTCCACCCCTCAAATTCATTCACTCATGATCGGACTCCAAGGTAGGAAGTGATTTGTGAAGCAACTGCAAATGGGGCATTTTGCCCCAACCCCAGGGCAAAACGCCCCACGGCCCGGGGCAAGAAGCCCCATACTCTAGATTAAAGATTAAACATGCTAGTTGACCAAATCTTATATGAGAGGTCCGTTAGACCTTGGGAGGCACGGCACTGAAGTTAGCACCTTCCATCCTATCAGGTGTTCAGCTATGACACTATTGTATGAACAGGTTTTTCACCTGCCTCATAAGGCCAAATAATAAATTATTGCCATGCAACTGTCAACCAAATACTTCCTTTGCCATCCGGTTGATGAGAAAACTACACATAAATGCATAGAAACTTACTGTTTGCCAGCTACCGAACATTAGGAAATGGGTAGTACGAACAACACATGAGGCAAAACGCCCCATGGGGCTTTTTGCCCCGCAACCTACTGGGGCGTTTTACCCCATCACGTAGTTCGGTCAGAAAACAACGCCTTGCACTCCAGCAAGACATAATTTAACACGAACCAACCCGGCATTATAAGCGTTAGATAATAGTTGTTCAAAATACATAAAAGTCGTTAACCTGATGTGGACCATAAAAGAACGCCATGATGCATAACCTGACAACAAAACATAAAAATCACTCCAAAAACACATTTTTGGCTATATCTCCCTAAGGAGTCATCACAATTTCTTTCCAGTCTGGTCATATAATGATCATATAGTGCACGTTTTATAGAAGAGAGAATATTTCCCCAGATCCTTGCCAGTTCCGAGAAACATCGGTGAGGCGTTTTACCTCGGCGGGGCGACTTGCCCCGGTCTACCCTACTAGAGATGTCAATCAGATACCAACTTTTTGGTATACCGATACCAAACCTATACCAACTTGGTATTTGGTATTTCAAGGCCAATGTTTAATGTTTATGGTATTTTGTCGGTATTGTGAATCGTTGCTAATGTAAAAGAGGCTGTGAATTTGGTAAAAAGTTGGTATTTCCCTCATTTTCCAGAGTCGGTTCAGTTTTGGTATTTTCCTATGGTTATTGATGGTATTTGGTTTGGTATCGGTATCACAATTTCCCGTAATTGACATCACTAGTGTGTACTAGAGAGGAAAGAGGGAGGGAGAGGGGGTAGCGAGAGAGAGAGAGAGAGAGAGAGAGAGAGAGAGAGAGAGAGAGAGAGAGAGAGAGAGAGAGAGAGAGAGAGAGAGAGAGAGAGAGAGAGAGAGAGAGAGAGAGAGAGAGATAGAGATAGAGATAGAGATAGAGATAGATAGATAGATAGAGATAGAGATAGAGATAGAGATAGAGAGAAGACAAGACAAGACAAGACAAGACAAGACAAGACAAGACAAGACAAGACAAGACAAGAGAAGAGAAGAGAAGAGAAGAGAAGAGAAGAGAAGAAAAGAGAAGAAACGAGAATAAAAGAGAAAAGAAAAGAAGAGAAGAGAAGGGAAGAGAAGGGAAGTGAAGGGAAGTGAAGGGAAGAGAAGAGAAGAGAAGAGAAGGGAAGAGAAGAAAAGAGAAGAAAAGAGAGGGAAAGAGAAGGGAAAAGAAGGATAGAGTAGAGGTGAGAGAAAGGAGAGGAGAGGAGTGTAGATATTGTCATAACTTACTTTAAAATTGTATACGAGCTGAATTCGCAACTTATACATCAAGAAACTGCCTTCAACGCAGATATGCTTCCCCAGACCATCATTTCACAAGACCAGACCAGAGTCCAGAGCAGACCACTGCACCATATCGTCCTCTACCAGCCAACATCTGGCGGACGACAGTCACCAAGACATAACCATACCATTATCTCCAACATTCATCATACAAAATAACAGGGCTGTTGCGGGCTAATTTCACACACCAACGATCTTATACCCCTGGAACCACTTCGCCACAATAACTGGCTATTTTGCTATCATTTCTAATAAGGCTGACCGTAACACATTGCTCTGAGAAGCATGACTGTATAGTGCATAAGAACCGAATATGTGGATAAGTGCTTTTAAGCGATAAATTTAGCAAGTTTCCTGCCGCTGCAGCGCCACACGCGTCACACAGCGTATAGGTAAGCGAAAGCGAGATGAATGGTTTCCTGAAATTATCATATGTGACTTGGCACAGCAGCAGACGTTTTGGTGAATTCTCAGTAAAATGTTCTCACCGACACCCTAAAAGTGCAGAAGCAAGGCAGCAGGTTTTGGTCAATAAAAGTTGAAAACGCCATTAGGCTAGATAACTGCATAGATTATTTATAACCGATGAGTGCTAAAAAAACGCGCAGCAGTCTTTGTCGGGGAAACACGCTCAAGCTACCGTTGCATAGCAAGACGTCATTTTGTAAGTCCATCCATTCCATCTCTTCTATTCAACCAGCTTCCATCAAAACTATGCGCTTCTGACTCAACGCACACAGTTGAGCGTGCTCGCCATTGAGTGTGCGCGTGCTCACGTGCGTGTGTGCGTGTGTGCATGATGCATATAACCGTTGATATACGTGTGCGGCGGCGGCCGGCGCAGTGGTGCGGCAGGCTCGATCAGCTTGGTCCCCGTTACCTGTGATATGGCGTGCGGCTGGACCAGCTCCTCCAACTTGTAGCGCTTCTGCAGCAGCTCCCCCAGCCGCAGGATGTGTGCGTTCAGTACGTCAGTCCGCTCCCGCAGACGCTCGAACATGTACCGGTACGGTTTGTCCAGTGTGACGTCACCCAGACGCGTGACGTCACCGACAGCCGTGTCGGCGGCGGTCCAGCTCTGCAGCTCGGGCCCCCAGCTGCTGATGACGTCACCGCGGCCGGTGCGGGACTCATATCGCTCAGACGGTGCCGTGCTGTGGGAGGCGGATGACGTCAGCGTGACGTCACTGGAGAGCACGGCTCTCACAAAACGCGATATCGAGGGAGATTGAGTGCTGTTGTGACATGATATATGGCCGCGGACCTCAAACAACATTGTGAACGAGGAATGCCATTACTATTACAGAGACGGCACCAATCAGGCGTGGGTAAAAACCACGGCCCCGTGACGCAAATATGGCTGAAAACAGAAAAACAATGGCGAGTTGATGAGGACATCATCATTACCATCATGCAAAAGTTCATCAAGTACGTCTCTGCCCCCTACGAGTCTGAAAACGGATGCAGATTTGCGGGGCTGCAACTTGAGCGATTACAATGGGCGATTGCTGGCGTCTTTCATGATGCCTCCGACATGACATATTTGAAAGAAATGAACACATCAAATCGGCAGTTGGGAAACTTCACTGTTCGCCAGAAACTGAGCAAAGGTATTAACTATCGGCTGTCATTGCTCAGACATTAAATTACTCGCCTAGACTTTCAGTCGAAACTCGAATCAATGATTCAATGAATATCGAGAGTACATGAACCTCCAGGCTCCACGAATCAAACTATTAAAACAGTTACATTAAAGGCGTACCGGTTTCGTCTATTGACTTCTTCAGCGCCGTATGGCGCTGAAGAAGTCAATAGACGAAACCGGTACGCCTTTAATGTAACTGTTTTAATAGTTTGATTCGTGGAGCCTGGAGGTGCATGTACTCTCGATACAATACTTGTCCATTTATAACTACGATTGAATGAATGAATCACTTGTACACACGGTCATGGAGTGACTGATCCAAACGACAGCAATAAATTTACATCACGGTAGCGTCAACAGCAGGTCACAAGAAAGTCCCAAAGAGGAAACGGGCTGGTGAAATGACTGCGGGTCAGCTGTCACCTGTTCCTATATAGTAGATTCATGTGGGTAAGATATGGAGCGATGTATTGTGTAACTTCTTTAAAGTTTAAATAAATGTTCATTTTTGTTTTACACGAAACATAGAAAAGAGAAAAAGTTGGCAATTCCTGATGAAAAATGCTCACTACACCCATCTCAAATCCTGCAAAGTACATACAGTTTCGTAGGCAAAAAAATGATATTCGAAATATATAGAAATCTACGACAAGCTGTATTTACTATTAAAGCATTCCTTAAGGCTTTAGGTCCTTTGAATTCACGGCATTCCTTAGTTCCTTTAAAGGAGCTGTAACACTGTAACAGTCATATAAAGGTAGGTATACCGACTGCACACAGGTCGGTACCAACAACGATTATATCGGTTCTGATCAGTGATCTCTCCCGAACTGCGATTCTGATATCGCAGATCAAGCCAAAAGGAAGTGCGGCAGGTTGGGATGGCGTGGACGCCGGTCGGCGCCAGTGGCTACTGAGCGGGGAACCGGTAGAACCAGTAGAACCGGTGGAGCGGGCACAGAGCGTCCCGAGGTTCCGCAGGGGAAGGGATGGGTTAGGCACTACGAGAGGGTTGGGATAAGTTACCCAGAGATAGAACTACCGGAGGGATAGGATGGATGGATAGGGATAAACTACACACTACCGGAGGAAAAGGAGCGAGGTTTGGCAACAGCACCTAGGGGCTGCGACGGGCTGGACACCAGCGAGAGGTTGGGAAGGGCTAGAACACTTCCAGATGAGTTGGAAGGGAGACAGACATAATGGATGAGCTGGGATAAGGTTAGACAAACCCGCATAAGCTGGGAGAACCGGAGATCTGTGGAAGACTGAGACACCAGACACTACTGAGGGGGCAGGAAAGAGGCAAACACTACCGGAAAGGAGTCCGGTTCAGCTCCCCTGTGCACCTGTCTCAAGGGACCATCCGGGAGTCATGTACCTGACAAACTTCCAGCACCTGTCAAACTGGAGAGAAACAGCAGCCACGGAGCCGTCGTCTGGCCCTCAGACACGTCACAGCGGTGACGTAGCCGTCACAGCTGTCACAGTTGCTACACGGGGACGGACGAAACATGGCACACGGCCGCCGGTGTCACGCTGCGACGGGAGGTGGGGTCGTAGGATAATGCCACTGTCAGACGGCGCGACATGTGACATGAAGTCGCGACGTCTGTAGTATGCTACAGCCTCGATCACCTTCATTGTTGTCTGCCACGAGAGACTTACAAAACTATAGCTTGTGAGGAGTCCACTGGGTGATGTCATGCGTCGTATAACCTTTACAGTTCACACCCTACAGTTGGTCGTCGAACAAGCAATAGTCGTTATGCAAGAGGCAAGGTCACACAGATGCCACACGAATGCAAGTCAAAGGCAGAACATGAGCGCCACAGGAGTCACGAAAAAGTCCCCCAAACGTAATACGAAGGCATCCTAGAAGTTAGTTGTGTCGCACATAAGCTTCATAAGGGTCCCATAGGAACATCACAAGCGTCACTCAACAGTATCAGTGACAACACATGCATGTCACAGCCGGGCATCACACAAGTGTGTCACAAACGTCACACATGCGTCACACGAGTCTCTCTCACACACATAAGATCGTCACAGGCGAGGGACGGCCACTCGGCACAGAGAGCCCGGGCTCCGGCGAGTCGCCTTATGCTGGATAAACAAACAGTGAGATGGCAGTCCTGTCCCGAGGCGGGGAGGCCGCCCTCAGCTCGGTCCGCGGGGCAGTCTGTCCTCCAGATGCACCCGCAGGGGGCTGGTGTTACCAGCTGGGCCCAGATGGGAGGTGCCCGGGAAATGGAGCGGCAGCGGCGGCGGGATGAGAGGCAGGGGTGAGAGGAGAGCGGTGACGAAGGAGGTTGTGTAACGGACGAGGCGCCGCGGCGAGGAGAGATGGAGAGATTACAACATCTGGCGAGTGTGGAAACGATTTCCGCGCCGGCTAACGACGGACATCGCGAGTCGGGCGGCTGAGCGAAGCGATTGGATAAATGGAGCAAGAGTTGCTGAGTTAATAAGCACTTTTTTGGAAGAGGAAATGTACTTGTATTGTATGATCGTCAACACAACGACGGTCCTGTCCTGTTTCATCGAGTCATTCCTTGTAATATTCCAGTTGGAACACGAAACTAAATATTGCTAGGCTTCGTGTGATAAAGCTGCCGAACAGTGCATCTTCGCCAAGTTGGAAATCATGTCATCAATTGACACGTCAAACAGCTCACGAAATGAGGGCTCAAGTGACACGAAGTACCCATGACTGTTGAACTCAATCAAGACAATTGGACAGTAATCCGGAGTTGCAAATCGGTTAACCCTATTAGTGGCAGGGGGGGGGGGTTGTTTTTATCCACCCCTCAGGTTTTTCGGGAATATCTCCGAAATCGCTGAAGCTACGATGCTGAAATTTTCTGACTTTTCCTAAAACTAAATTGGGCTTATTCCCTGAAAATTTCAAGTTCATAACTTTACCAGGGGCGGCTCCAGAGCACTGGGAATTGGGGGTCCTATTCGTGAAGCGAGTCATTTGGGCGAAGATCACGATGCTGCACCAGTTTTACGAACAGTGAATGAAAGGTATACATGTGATAACATATACAGTTATTGTGCATCCTCTTTTGACACGTTTTTGCTATAATAGGCGGATCCAGGCGTCCAAAAAGGGGGGTTATGTTTTACCTCCCAACATAGGTGCCCTGACACCGCCTATGCATGACCAATACAATTGTAGTCGTTCTCTCATAAGAAAATTGTAACATAACAAGACCATTACCACCCTTTTTAGAAACAGTACCAACAAAAACCTTATTTACTATACTTTTTGTGTACCCCCAATCTCAATGATCTGTATCCGCCTATGATTTTTGAAAATGCATATTTTTAGGATCCATGTGAATTCCTGGTTCATTCTCTATCGATCGGCAAAAGTTGCGTTAGGATTGGTTCAGAAACCTGGCCGTGATAAACAGTCAAAAATGTATCTGCAATTTGCCCGTTTTTACCCCCCTCTACCCCCCCCCCCTGTTGACATATTTTAATTTTTATTTTTTAGAAATGTAGATCACGTTGAGCGAAATCGAATGCCGTTTGAATTTTGAAAATCGGCCGGTTAGATCTCGAGATATCAAGGGGGGGTCGTAAACAGCCCCCCCTGCCACTAATAGGGGTATACCAGGAGCCTGCCACTAATAGGGTTAAATAGCAGCAGCCAGAAGAAACGGGCTTGCCACTTTCCTTACCGACAGGCTGGTAAGGCGACAAGCGAAACGAAACAAGCTTTGTTCAATGTCCACCACAGAACGGCTCGTTTAAAGCACATGCTGTTACAGCCTCGTAAAAGAAAACATCGCAAATCGGATCTTCTGGCTACATCGAACAAAGTTGGCATGGCTGAAGTGATGTGGGTATAACCCTGGGTAAAAAAACGCAATTAATATTCTGATACTGGTTCTAATTTCGGTAATCGCCCCAGACTGCTAATGTAACTTAATATAAACATGCATCAATGCATGCTCCAAACCCAAAGCAAATAGTCAGCTTCTGCCCCAAAGGTTACGTAAACATGAGGACGATAGTTCGGTATATACTCTCAGTCAGCACGGCATATGACACTTGAAGCTCTTTTTCTTACAGAGCATTGCATCTATACTCTATAGGCCCGACCAGTGCTAACAAAGCAAAAGCTAAAAATGTTCCCTTTACACATAAACGTCAGTCCAGTCACAATACAATGAACAGCTGAACGCTGAATAGTGAAAAGCCGTGAAGGCAATGTTTATGATACTCGTATGGGTCGTGTGTGTCATGTGCTATGAATCGGCCACCCTTCCCCACCCGGCGACCGGCCGGCGGCGCTGAGTGGCGGGTCGGCCGGATGTCAGCTGACCAGTGCCTCGGGCGTCGACCGGTCACGTGGGCTCACAGTGGCGACGCCAGGAGCGCCTGCCGGCCGGACCGGGTCACTCGACAACACATATTCGATTCCCGGGAAAAGCACGGGGCCGTGTCGCGGACGGGCGCTTGGAACCGTGTATGAGCTCCTATTATCACATGGTACACTGAAAATGAAATTGAATCTGACCGCGCACACCCAGTTTTGACACTATGCCATTGACCTCTAAAAGAGGTCAATGCACTATGCGCACAGCCAGTTTTGACTGGTGTGTCGCATAGTGTCAGTTTTGAAGAGACGCGCCCTCGTCTCTAGTCGCCTTGTGTGTTGTTGTCATTCGGTTTCTCCCTGGTTTCAAAAATTGAACAATATAAATAATGCTCGTTTATCGCAGCATTATCGGCGGTAAAAATGGCCGGACAAAAATTTAGCAGCTGACACGCCACGAACCACGACATGGATATTCATGAATCGCCAAAGTTCGCCTCGAATATAGTAAGAACTTTCCCATAATAGCGATTACAACGAATAAATGGTTGTTTTGACAGCTGTTACCGCGAACACTAGCATATACCCTACGAGCATAGACTTAAAAAAACCGAACATATTCAGGTTCCGCCACGGCGGCGGATGAACTGAGCGACATCGCTTGATAAATAGGCCTGCAAACTCCTTAGGCGTCCGTTAAACATTAAACAGGACAGGAGCATCTTATGCAGAAGGGGATATCCCCGGCCAGCGAGCAGCAGGATCGACATACATTTCCTGGGCCTTTCCAATTCAGAATACACTGAATAGCGAGTGCCATGTCCATTCGGCTTTCATTCAGCCTGCATATTGGTCGCACTACCAACCACAGACCCATGAGCCCCAAACGCTCAACTGGCAGCAAACAAAAGGTCCGGGCGCCCACAGTACCCCTCTCCCTACAGGCGGGGTCGGCATGCGTCTAATTCGTGACGGGTTTCCTGACAGTTTATTCCGCAATGTCACTTGTGTTTGTTCATCGAGGTGTGCGAAACGTGACAGCATTGCTACAAACGCGTCTAAATGATACACGCTGCGTATCATTGCATGCTTCTTCCTACTCGTTTATGTAGGTAAGCCTTACAAAAAATGTCATTTTCAATTAAATATTCCAACCGAACTCTGAGGCCAGTTTTACCAACAGAAAAGTAGCCGCCTGCTGGAATTTTTTGACTAAGTAAAGACCGCTTCATATACAGAGCGTAAACGGTATAACCCTATCCGCTAACGTGCCCATCGCGTTTACGCTCCGTATGTGAAGCGGTCTTTAGTCAAAAAATTCCGGCAGGCGGCTATTTTTCTGTTGGTAAAACTAGCCTCTGGTCTAAAATTTGGGTAGGCGTACCAAGATTACGACAGCGATATTCGACTCTGATCTGAGAGCTAATGTGAGAGTTGAAGAGCGACTTTGAAGCGAAGGTGAGTATGAGAAGTGAGTGAGAGAGGTAAATGTGAGCACTGAGCAGTGTGAGCGGCGTGTGAGGTGAGAGGTAACAAAAAATGACAGGTTTCCGCTGTGAGATGCGTGTGAGAAATAAATGAGGACTCACCCGCTCGGTGAGTAGCTGGTCGGACTGAAGAGGGCAGACCTGGAAGGACCGGTGCCCGCCGCTCGCTTCGGCGTGGCCTGGCTTCCAGACAGGGGCCGCTTCCCCGTCTGAAACAGACACAAAATAGTTGGGCAGGTCGCCACTAGATGACAGCACAGGTGACGGTTATGGAATGCAGACAAAATGAGTCACTTGGACACTGTGCCTGTCGTAAATGTAATGCTGTACGAAATCAAACCGACGAACTGACAGAAAATAAGGACTCCGAATAGGGAGGCCCCAAGGGGAGAGCAGCCACGTCTCGGAATCCATCAATCACCCTAATCTGCAAGCTCCGGAGATACGGCGTTCAATGTCCATGTTCCGGATTCGTGTCTCGTTGGGAACACTATCGGTTGAACACGTCCTCAGAGCGCTGAGAGCCGACATCAACACACCCGGCGCCGGCCGATAGCTGGTTTACGTTTCAGCGCAGGAGGGCTTCTTCTGTTTATCAGCATGTGGGCGATCTACCTGACCTATCCGCGTCGGCCGCCGATTTCTGAATGGGAGCCAGTCTGGTGTGCAGCGTACTCAATTCAAAAATAGAACGAACCGGCAGCAACAGAATAAAACCATAGTGTAAGAAATAACTTATTTATTACACTGTTAATAACACTGACTGTAATAACTGTTATTTATTACACTATGATAAAACCAAGGGAAAGGAAGGCTCACGGCTCCTCTGAATCTGATTTTGAACATAACGTCTAAAGTGCGTGAATATGACGAATTTCGTCGATTGTTTGGTCCGTCTCCTCCCTAAGAAGCTGTAGCGTGCCATTCATGATTTATTTTGATCGCGGTCAGCCTTCATCCCCCAATACCTTCCAATATCATGTCCGGTAAATTTTCCTTGGCTTCCTTCTCCTTCATACAATATCTCCCCGTATTTGTTCATATCTATCATGGCTCGACGCATTTCAAATTGAGTTATGCGCTTCTTTCCCAATATACCCTCATTTGATTTGGACTCTAGTGTAATAGTAAATTCACATTCGATTTTGTCTCCTTCGTCTCCCATCAGATTCCCATTCGAATTTGTCTCCGCCGTCTCCCCACATGGCGCCGGGGCCGCTGGCTGGCTGTCTCCGGGCCCGGCGCCGGAGACCGTTGGCCGGTGGCGCAGAAAAACTGACCGACGCCGGTTACCGCGCCGTGACCACGTTTGAAAAACCGGTCCTTCTCGGCGCGCGGCGCGCGGCGCTCCGGGCCGGCGCCGGGACCGAGACCGGACCAGGGACCGGGACCGGCCGACCGGTCGGTCCGCCGGTATCCGAAGGGGAGACCGGCGCGGCCCGGGCCCGTCAGGCGACGTGGCAGCCCTGGGGCGCGGCGGCCGCGACTGGGTCCGAGATAGGACCGCTGATACTGTCCCTCGATCACCGGCGCGGAACAGCGCGGCCGGCTCCCCACAGACAGACCGAAAAAAAAAACAATTTACCATAAACTATCTACCTGCAAAAACAGTCGCCATCGCCATCATCGCTGCCATCAAAAGTCGAGAAGCCTCTAGCCTCGGCAGTTCGCCAGCGCAATTTGGAGGCGTCGGCGCGCGGCATCCACGCTGCGCCCGAGGCTGCGGCGGCGTCCTGGGACGGTCGGTGGCCGCGGCGGCGTCTTTCCACGCTCGGCAGCCCGCTGGGTCCACCGGCGCAGCATGAGCTGACCTTGAAAGTGGCGCGGCCGTTGGCAGAACGCCAGCCGTCCAGACCTGCCGGCCGGCCGGCCGGGCGGCTCGCCTGGAGACCGCGGCGCCGCGCCGGCCGGCCAGCCGCGGGCGGGGGGCGGGGTGGTAGGAGAGAGAGGGAGGGAGGTGTGCGGGGGAGCGGCAGGTGCAGCGGCCGGAGAGCGGAGCCCAGCCGACAACGGCCGCTCCGGGCCGGGCGCGCTGAATAGACGCCGCCGAAAACAGGCCCACCTGCATGGGAGAGGGTCGAGGGACGGAGGGGGACGACCACGTGTTCGTCACCTGAAATCTGGGATCACCGGCTCCTGACCCCCGTGATTTTCAACGGAAAGCCGAGGGATCTTGTGAAATAACGCGGCTACGTTTGAAAAAATATGGAGAGTTTGTACCTCGGCCCAAATGCGAGGACTCGTGACGGTCCGTAACAAGAACAAGAAAATGAAATGAAAAGTGTTGCGGGCTCTGCTGTAGATATATTTGCGAAATGTTACTTATAAATAATTTTGCTGCGGAAAAAAATAATCAAGAATGAATTTTAGTAAGAGAGCAATTGATCAACTATCCAACGCAGTCTAGGAAACCTCCCCATCCAAGAACCCCAGCACAACGTTTGATATTTGTACGGAAGAAGGAGAGAAAATAAGAAAAAGGAAGGTAAACTTTTCACATGTATCAGGGTTCAAATATAATTTGACAAAACAAATGCAATATGAACACTGTCCGCTTAGCATTAACGATCATTCAATGACAATGATTCAGTACGATCAGGAACTTTTGTCTTGATTTTAGGAAAGGGAAGGCATAAAAAATCTAGCAAGGGCGCCATGTCGAGACGAAATTGAAGGTAGAACCGGGAACGACACAATTTACATTTTAGCGCATTAGTAGCTCTCAGAAGAAGGGCTATTCCGGACCGTACACCGTAGAAAGAGAAGTTTCATCCCCAGCTTTCTCCGAAACTACTGGGCCAACTTTCAAAACTCAAATCAAACGGTGATCGTCAAAGACCGTTAAAATTCAACAGTGGACCCACTTGCATTGACCTCGGCGATACTGACACCTCAGTTTTTTTTTTCTCTCTTGGCATGCGGAGATTTGGTGTGGATTGTGGAAATAAGCACTGGTAGTTCTGTGGCCATATCGGCAGTGCTATGATGGCCATATCGGCAGTGCTAAAGGATTTAGTGAAGTCAATTACATAAAATAGGAATACCGATACCAAACCAAATACCAACCAAAACCGTGAGGAAATATCGAAACCGAACCAATCTAGCTCAACTTCTCATTTCGACCCCGTGCAATGGGCAATGCGCGGGTTGAGGAAAGGAGCATCTACTTTGCATCCTCTTCCAAATCCCATGGCGCATGATTGTTTTTTTTTTTTACTTTCTCGTTTTCATTCAAAACTCAATGTACCGTAACTCCAGCAGAGTACGACAGGTACCTTCAGCTGATATCCTGTTTGCATGGACAATACATAGGTGACCTCTTCTGAACTATGTTACAGCTAGAATCCCTCAATTGCCAGCGTTGTCACAACTGCAACCGACAACGGCGCCCCATAACCGGCAAACAAGCGACCCAACCGGCCACCTCGCCTGACCGGCACAAGTTAGCGAGCCGAGTACGCCAATAGTCTTCCGAGAAGACAGAACGAGGCGGCGTTCTCAGCATCTGCACCTGCCCCGGCAGGAGGGAGGGGGCAACAATTAATCTCGTTTGTCCGGAATCGCGGCTAGCGTCTGCCGGGAAGTCGCTAGGATTACGGCCCGGGCTGAAGGCTCAGGAGAGTCGCGGGCATGCGGTGTCAGATTACACTCGGTTTCATCAGGGTGTGATGAAAATGAAGGGTAAATGCAGCAGGACTTGCATTGTGGAAATACGATCTGGCAGCCGCTGTTTATGGGCGTTCCTAGTGGGTGATGAAATCCAAAACGTGGTTGAAATGAATTTATGAAAAGAGGAAATGATTGCACCCTTACTGAGGTCATCACCTGACAAACCGATCGGAGGGTAGAGGGCAGGATCACCGCAACAAGCTTCGCTTAGCGGTGGCTCTGGCCTTGTGAATCCTTCCCATCAAAAGGTTCGGACTAAATTTATAAAAAAAAAACTTCGCATATCGAGGAAACACTGCAAAGGCAAGAAAACAACAAAATATCGATTGAACGGTCTCGCCGCGTATGTAGCATTCGACAGGCAGTACCTACACTTTTTTCTGCAGCGAGGGAGTTACGTCACAGACAAACTGTTGCCAACAGCGGTAAAACACAAAAACACCCGGCGTGCCGGTGGGAACTGGGGTAATAGCGGCGGCCCGACTGCGGTATGTGCGCAGTCCTCCCCCCTCCCTGGCTGTTGTGCTCATTCAGCGGACAGTGAAAGGGGCGGCGGTGGAGGGGGAGGGACGGGGAGAGGCAATGGTATGATGGGGAGGGGAGGGGAGCGACCCGGGCCCGACACGACGCACCCCCGCTGTGTAATGTGCGGTTACCCGTGCCAGGTCGGGGGGGACGGGCGGCGGTGAAAATTGGAGAAACGCTCCGAAAAAAAAACTTGAGACAAAAAGTGAGGAGGGCGTAGCCGATAACAGCCTACGAAGTACGAACGATAAGCTGCGTGGTAAAATATCGTTGTTCCCGCAACTTACACATACAGGATTCACAAAAGTAACTCAGCAAACTACAAAGATCGACCGCAGCAAGTATTTTCGAGATATACCTAAGTTCGCAACCACTACGAGTAAATAGCGTGGCTTAGAAAATAGCGTACACAGCACCGGCAGGCGCCGTAACACTGCAGACTTCCCGGCAGCATTAATTATTGTTAGTTCGGGAGGGTGAGCCAAACAGGCTTAATCAGCCCTCTATTCCCGCTTAAAGGAAATAGTTCACTTTCCTGAAATTAATATTTTGCTATGGATTTATGTTTTTTATGCTCAAAATGATCAGAAAATAAAACAAAACGTTTTTGTAAAAAGGATTATTTTCTATATTTTAGTATAAGAAGAACTATATTCTATATAAAATAATGTTTGACGCGGAAGCTTATTACGCGTTGACCAATCATATTGCGTAGGACAAACCCATCGGCTGTAAGCAGCATTCTGATTGGCTGACGATGACGTGACTGCATTCCTCAGCAAGGCACGCATTCCTCTGCAAGGCACTCTTTTTCGGAACGAAAAATGGAATATCTTCGTCTAGGGTGATCGTTGGGCCGTAAAAGCTTCTGATTTGTGCTAGTCTCAGCGCAAGCAACAAAACTGCTATTCCAGTTCCAAACCCCATGTTAAAAGTGAACTATTTCCTTTAATTGTCCATGGTTTATAAGCGAAATTCATCACAAAACGAGTAACAAGCAGAATTGATTCTATTC